CAGGAGGAGTTTGAGTGCTTTGCTGCTTCTGTACCTCATCTCGTGTCCATGCTGCTTGCCCCTGAGGGAGACCCGGATGCACCAGACATCCCGACCCCGCACTCTTACGCAGAGGCGATAGAGGGTCCCTACTCCTCTCAGTGGCAGGCAGCCATGGACGCCGAGATGGCTTCCTGGAAGTCCACATGCACCTACGTCGACGAGGTTCCCCCGCCTGGGGCGAACATCGTCAGTGCCATGTGGATCTTCAGGGTGAAGCGGCCGCCGGGTTCTTCGCCTGTCTTCAAGGAGCGTTACGTTGCGCGTGGCTTCAGTCAGCGACAGGGAGTTGACTTCTTTCAGACCTTCTCCCCTACCCCGAAGATGACCACTCTTCGGGTACTGCTGCACGTAGCTGCTCAGCGTGACTACGAGCTCCACTCGCTTGACTTCAGCACAGCCTTCCTACAGGGCAGCCTGCACGAGGAGATCTGGCTGCGCCGCCCACCTGGCTTCACTGGGTCGTTTCCAGCTGGTACCCAGTGGAGCCTCCGGCGGCCAGTCTACGGTCTCCGCCAGGCACCTCGTGAGTGGCACGACACACTCAGGACGACTCTTGCTGCTCTTGGTTTTGCTCCTTCCACTTCTGACCCTCCTCTGTTCTTACGCACTGACACTACTCTGCCGCCGTTCTACGTTCTCGTGTACGTAGACGACCTCGTCTTTGCTACTGCTGACACTGAGGCACTCGCCCACGTAAAGTCCGAGCTGCAGAAGAGACACACGTGCACAGACCTGGGTGAGCTGACAAGCTATCTTGGCTTGCGGATCACCCAGGACAGAGCACAGCGCACCATTACCTTGACTCAGTCACACATGGTGCAGCAGGTCCTTCAGCGCTTCGGCTTCACGTACTCCTCGCCACAGTCCACTCCTCTGCCTACCGGTCACTCGCTCTCAGCTCCACCTTCGGACGAGTCCGTAGAGCCGAGTGGCCCGTATCCAGAGCTTGTGGGCTGCCTCATGTACCTGATGACTTGCACACGACCTGACCTCGCATACCCTCTCAGCCTTCTGGCTCGCTACGTGGCTCCCGGCAGGCACCGAAAGGTGCACTGGGATGCTGCGAAGAGGGTGTTGCGATACTTGTGCAGTACATCGGGCATGGGGCTCGTGCTTGGAGGACGGGCTCGAGTTGTCCTCACTGGTCATGCTGACGCCTCCTGGGTTGACGACTTGGCTACGCAGCGGTCGTCACAGGGTTACACCTTCAGTCTTGGCGCCGGTTCTGTCTCTTGGCGGTCTACCCGTTCTTCTTCTGTTCTCAGCTCCAGTTGTGAGGCTGAGATCTACGCTGGGGCCATGGCTGCACAGGAGCTACGCTGGCTCACCTACCTGCTGACCGACTTGGGAGAGGCGCCTCGTTCTCCTCCAGTTCTGTACGTCGACAACAAGGCCATGCTGGCCTTGTGTCAGGAGCACAGATTGGAGCACAGAACGATGCACATTGCTCTGTGCTACTTCCTTGCTCGAGAGTTACAGCAGCGTGGCCAGCTTCGTCTTGCTTACGTGGCCTCTCAGGCCAACACTGCTGATGTTTTCACCAAGGCACTTCAGCCTTGTGATCATCAGCGTTTCTGTACTATGTTAGGCCTTGTACCTACTGTGCCTCACTTACTGAATTCTTGACTCTGTTTGTACTGTACTCTATATACTTATACCTGCATGCTTACACTTGCTAGGTTGTGTTCACTGTATTGTTTGCTTTCCTTTATATAACTCTGCATGTGAACTGGCCTTGTGGCCCTTTGCTTGTGCTCAGACAGTGTGGTGACTTTGTGATCCACCCTGAGCTTGCTTTGCCTTCTTGACTGGTCTTGTGACCCCTTGTTCTCCCCCACTTTGCCTATGGGGGTGTGTCAAACTTATATATGCTATAGTCTATTTAGGCTGTAGTGGGGTAGTCCTTAGAGGGTACAACACTTTTTTTGTTTTCTACTTGTACCCCACCTGTTTCCTAGTTCACTCATTCCTCTCATTATTCTCACATGAAGCTCGTGCAACATAACGAGCCTTGAATACAGGCAGAGAACCCAGCGGCCGCTTCACCCTGAAAATCCACATGCCATTGACTATGTTCCACTGCCGCCACCACCACTCCCACCGCTGCCACCACCGCCGCCACCGAAGCCCCCACTCGCGCCACCACTCTCACCGTCACCTCCACAACCTCCACTGCCTCCACCGCCTCCACCACCACCACCACCCCCGCTGCCACCTCCACCACCCTTGCCTCCCTTGCCCTTGCCGTTGCGGCGCTTCCCACTAGGAGAAGAAGCAGCCCTTATGTCCTCAGTACCAGGGATGTCAACAGCAGCAGCAGAAGCGTAGGAGGGGTCAAGGGGGCAGGGGGAGCACCCTGAGCAGCACCTACAGCGACTACGCTAGTCTCAGCTGCAAGGAGGTGCTTCTCGAGCAGGTCGACGGTGAGGTCAGTGGGGTCAAGTGCAAGAAAGTGGTCCCTGAGAGCGCGAAGAGAGTCAGGGAGGCGGGTGACTATGAAGTAGAGAGTGATGTACATCGGGGGCGGGTTCCTGTCTAGGAACTCGGCTGGGAGGGCAGCGCGGTAGCGAGCATCACTAGTGCGGAGGTGGGTAACGAGGTCCTACAACGTCGTACAGGGCTTTGGCAGTCTTGTGCTGGCCAAAGTGAGCGCGTTCGGCTAACGGCAGGTGGTTGCGAATGGCTAAGCGAGCAGCAGCGTCACGGGTAAGCCACTGTGAGCGAGTCGCACAGTCAGCTTTGGCGGGAGGGGCGAGAGAGGCTCCAGACGTGTGGTCAAACAACGAAACGCTGTCTCTAGAATCGCTCAGTAGGTACAGATGTAAGTCGTCGAGCCACGTATTGAACTGGATCGGACGGCCCTCATGATCGAAGCTGAGTACACTGAGAGAAGCCATAGCGGGCAGAGAAGGGTGGCGCGCGACAAGACGGGCGACACGCAAGCAGGGCATCGCGCGAGCACTAGAGCACTAGAGGAGTGCGCAGGGAAGGGCAGGGCGGGCGGCGCGCGGGCAGCAGGGCGTCGGCTAGCAGGGTGGCGCACAGCAGGGCGGGCAGCAGTAGGGCGGCGTGGGCAGGAGGGCGCCGGCCAGCAAGGCTGCGCGCAGCGGGGCGGGCAGCAGCCGGGCGGCGCGCAGCAGGGCTGTGCGGGCAGCAGGGCGCCGGCCAGCAGGGCTGCGCGCAGCAGGGCGGCGCGCGGGCTGCAAGGGGCGCCGCGCGGGCTGCAAAGGGCGGCGTGGCCGGCTGCAAAAGGGCGGCGCGCGGGCTTGCAAAGGGCGGCGCGGCGGCCAGCAGGGCGGCGCGCGGGCAAGGCAGGGCGGGCAGCAGCAGGGCGGCGCGCGGGTTGCAAAGGGCGGCGCGCGGGCTGCAAATGGCGTCGCGTGGGCTGCAAAAGGGCGGCGCGCGGGCTTGCAAAGGGCGGCACGCGGGCAAGGCAGGGCGGGCAGCAGCAGGGCGGCGCACGGGTTGCAAAGGGCGGCGCGCGGGCTGCAAATGGCGGCGCGCGGGCTGCAAAGGGCGGCGTGGCGGGCTGCAAAGGGCGGCGCGGCGGCCAGCAGGGCGGCGCGACATGCAGGGCAGGGCAGGGCAGGGCAGCGCGACTAGTGGGGCAGCGCTATTCGGTGGGCCCCAAAGAAAACGGTCCTGGAACAGGACCTGCTCTGATACCATGTCAGAATACTGAACGAGAATGAATGAACTATGAATGTGTTGGGTACAAGTACTAACCCTAATTGGGTTGTACCCCTTATAGGCTACCCCACTACAGCCTACACAATGTAAGCATTATAACATTTTGACAGGGGAAGGTCTGGTTTGGGCCCTTAACGCATCTGGGGAAGGGTCGAACGAGGCACTTAGTGGCACGGGTGCAGTGCGAATCGAACACTTTATGCAGTCGAGCTAGAGCGAAAGTAGCCCGGAATGTTCATGGCATTAAGGGCATATGCCCTTTAATCGACAGGCCTGACCAGGGTCCTCGCTAGGATTCAAAGGTGCCTGATCCATCAGATTTTTCGTTTTTCCAGTCTGACGCGTCATTTTTTTTTCACCAAGGCCTGTCTGACCAATCAAAGTACAATCTGTAGATTCATTGTTGACCTGCCATGCCACGCCAAAATTTTCCAGCAAGACCGAATTCGATTTGTTAGTGCATTTTCAACCTATCACAGAAGAGATCAGGCAGATTCAACCTATCACAGTGGAGAAATATGCAAATTCGATCTATCACGGCAGAGATTCATCTGTCATAGCAGATTCTATCACAAATCACACTGCACTAGCATGTTTCGGTTTTAGATGGAACACACAACTGCCTACAGTGCAATCAGGGTAAAAAAAAATACCTACACTGATGCCTCTGGGTAAAATTTTCAAAACGTCAAGTAACACTGATCCTTTAGTGTTTCCAAAAAGGACACACTGCTCAAAAGGGTTTTGAAAATGGCTACGCTGCTAATCCTGAGTAGCCAAAATCCAAAGATAGGCCCTGCTCCACTCCCTCATACACCAAGCATAGTTCATCACCCCAACGCATCACATGCAATTATGCAACAGAAGATGCCCACTGAACCCTACGTCCAACTTCCAGGTTGTTATGCAACATCACATCAATGCAAGCTGATCAGCTATACTGTCCATCAGGTGTGGTATCCCTCGTTGCATATTCCCAAAGTAACGCACCAGTACCTGCTGGTCAATAAGCAGCTTATAAGGAGACGCCATATCACTTTTCAGGAATAGGCTCATGTGCATCTGTAAGCTGTGGTTCTAGACCCCCTTGCGTGCTTCTTGCCTCTCCCATTTTCATTAGCTATTGCATCCAAGTCCCAACAAGGACAAACACCAAGTGCTCTTAGACCATGCTGCCCTGAATATAACACCCAGCCCAGTGCTCCTCCTGCTATACTGCATCTATAGTTCCGTGCTAAATAGTTTATATGTAGGCATAATGGGCAGACTCAACGCCCTTTGGTTGGCTTCGATTGCAGCCAACTCCGGACGCCATCACCCATCGAGCCAAGCATGAATGAGCTCACACCAGACTGTGAGCCATAAGACCCCTTGGGCTCCCTCCCACCATCTCCAAACGACAAACCAGAAACATCCCTGGAAGACACACCCTCGTTGCTTGCACTGTCGTCTCTCGCGACACTTTCCCACTCGTCCTCCCTGTCGGGGCAGTGCTTGGCAATGAAGGCAGTGAGGCGGTATGCCACATCCTTCATGGTGGGTTGCCGTGTGCCGGGAGACTTGATGCAGTCCAGAGCCAGGTCAGCAAAGTCCACTAAGGCCTCCTCAGTGACCACTGGCATCTTGCTGTCCCTCAGCTCCTCTAGCTCATACTCCTCCACCCTCTTCATTGCCTGGAAGGCATCCACACAAGAAATGGATGATGCATGGGAGAGGCGGTGAAAAGCAGCATCAAAAACCGGAAATTTGGTGCAAGGCAGCATGACAGCAAGGAAAGGCTGTGATATCCAGAATGAAAGTGAGTTCAGGAAAAACGTGCAGCCATGAAAAAAATGAAAAGAAAGATTTGAGTTGTGATGGGCACAAGCATTCTCTGATATGCAATATTCATAATTGCGCCAACTGGAATCTTGGATTTCATAATTGACAATCGTACCCATTTTATTATATGTGTCTTTTCGTCAGCGCCAACATGGGTTGATTTTCCGCTCAGCAACTCAAGAAGCACGATTCCAAAGCTGCAAGCAATCATGCATTGGAGACAGAGGAATAAAATTGGAAAGAGAGAGAGAGAGAGAGGTGCATGGTACAAGTATTCAACATCAAGCAGGAAGATCAGAAAACAAGTGAGGTGCACAAGTTCATGGCATTGTGCAAAGGAACGAGCATGCATGCAAACCTGAACACATCGCTCTTGGCTGTGATGATGTTGGTACGGTTGTAGTCCGGGTCCACATAGCCCGGAGTGCCGGCCACTCGCGTGGCATCAGCATCGCCGTGAGTGAGGCGCTTGAGCAGCCCAAAGTCAGCCAGCTTAGCGTGCATATTAGCAGTCACAAGGATGTTTGCCGGCTTGATGTCGCGGTGAACGATGGTTGTGTCAAACCCGTGCAGGTACGCCAGGCCCTCTGCTGTTCCCTGCGCTAGGCGCAGCCTCTGGCGCAGAGAGAGTGGACCTGGGGCACGAATCACGTATATGGAGCAGAACGTGCAGTTATATGAGAGACGATGTCATGCTCTGCGCCGAATTAAATAAATAAACAAACAAACAAACATATATGTATATTTAAAAAACGACTGGCAATCGTGCCAGAGCAACTCACGGCAGAGCAACTCACGACAGAGCAACTCACGACAGAGAAACTCACGGCAGAGCAACTCACGACAGAGCAACTCACGACAGAGAAACTCACGACAGAGCAACTCACGGGAGAGCAACTCACGACAGAGCAACTCACGACAGAGCAACTCACGGGAGAGCAACTCACGGCAGAGCAACTCACGACAGAGCAACTCACGGCAGAGCAACTCACGGCAGAGCAACTCACGACAGAGCAACTCACGGGAGAGCAACTCACGGCAGAGCAACTCACGACAGAGCAACTCACGGGAGAGCAACTCACGGCAGAGCAACTCACGACAGAGCAACTCACGGGAGAGCAACTCACGGCAGAGCAACTCACGGCAGAGCAACTCACGGCAGAGCAACTCACGCTTGGTGGCATGGATATGGTAGTGGAGGTCCCTGTTGTCTATGAACTCGTACACAAGGATCTGCTCCTGCCTGCCCGTCTCCACGTTCTGGTCCAGGCAGAAGCCCAGCAGGCGCACGAGATGCACGTGGTGGAGAGAGGCCATGGCTCGCACCTGCAACATGGACATGGAACACAAAGCAGGAAGATGTAGCAAAGGGAAAGGGAAAGGAGAGCACAGAATCTGAAGTTCAGTATGTTGGACAACAGAGTGGGGTTATAAATCTGTGCTCTGTGGGCGGAAAGCAGGGAGTAGAGAAAAGCCTGACTTCCGTTTCAAAGTCGTTGGTCATGATGGTGTCTCACCTCCGTTTCAAAATCGTTGGTCATGATGGTGTCTCACCTCCATTTCTAAGTCGTTGGTCATGATGGTGTCTCACCTCCATTTCAAAGTCGTTGGTCATGATGGTGGAGCGCTTGATGGCCCAATCCATAGTGCAATTCGGCGTGAAGTTTTGATACATCCTGGCTCTCTAAGAAACGTTCTAAGCTCGCGTTTAAAACGAGGGTCTACATTTGACTCCTGAACCCTGAATCCTGGCGAAATGTTATTGTGGAAGAATACCGGGGGCATGAAAATCTCATTTTTCGCCAGCCAACACTTACGCGCTAGCAAGCCAGGTTCAAAAGATTAATTTCTGAACCCACGCCAAGCAATTGTGGACCCTCGATTTAACCAGGCTCCTTTCTTCCGCTAACCCATGGGGTTTGTCTCGTTGCCCTAGAACAGCACGAGTTGATGGAAGTAAGGCCTTCGCAGCCCAGCTGTCCGTTTTTTACGGCTGTCTCACCTCCGTTTCAAAGTCGTTAGTCATGATGGTGGAGCGCTTGATGGCCCACAGCTGGCCCTGTGACGAGCGACCTTTGTAGACAACGCCAAAGCCACCCTTGCCCAGCACATTGTCCTCCGACCAGTTGTTGGTTGCCTTGAGCATCTGCTGCAGCGAGAACTGCTCACACACATCCAACCCCTCCCACTTCTCTGTGCACACAGCAGGACAAGGGGAGGGAGAGCACGACCAACAGGAATGAGTGACCAGGTGTGTAGTTGAGTGGAGAGAGCATGAGGGTAGTGGAAAGGCAGGGTTGTAATGCAGGAAAAACGGCAGGGAAATTGAGCAGAGAAGGATGTTAGAATTGTATGTTCTAGCATGCCAACACTTGTGACTGTACATCAATTGCGGTGTACAGTGAGTTGGGACTACATCCGACTTTGGGTGTAGTCTTGCATTGTGGGGTGCCAATCCAACCCAATTGTGGTGGAGCCCCCAAATGCAACCCACTTGACCTCAGGTTGCCTCACTTCCCAAAAGTGAGGCCAACCCAACCCAAGTGGGCCTGAGGCTGCCTCACTTCCCACAAAGTGTGGTCAACCCAACCTTTCTTCTCCAAGCTTTTCATCCAACCTATGTATGCTTGTTTCTCCTCTAATCAAACTAATGATTCTCTTTCAATCTTCACAAAGGAGGCCAAGAAACAGGTAGAGCATTAGGGGAGATGAAAAGGGGCTGTAGAAGGGAGGAGAGGCTCACTTGGTCCGCGGGGCCACAGCAACCATGCGAGCATAGCAGCCAGCAGCGTGAAGCCAGCAAAGCAGCCCAGAACGATGCCCACTAGGGCATCAGTGGACAGAGAGGCCACTGACAAGGAAGGGGAGGTCAAGGGAAAGGGGGCAGTGGTTAGCGGGAGCTGTAGAGGCACGGAAAAGAGTGATAAGATATGGGTATAAAAAAACGTTAACGACATGGTTATGGGGGGAAGGTGGGGGGACGAGGGGGGGAAAGGGGGGGGACGAGATGGGGAAGGGGGGGGAACGAGCGGGGGAAGGGGGGGGAGACGAGGGGGGAAGGCGGGGGGAAGGTGGGGGGGACGGGTTGGGGAAAGGGGGGGGAAGGGGGAGAAAGAGGGGGAAGGTGGGGGGAAAAGGGGGGGGAAGTGGGGGGGAAGGGGGGTAAGAGGGGGGGAAGAGGGGGGGACGGGGGGGAAGATAGGGGAAAATGGGGGGGAAGAGGGGGGGAAGTGGGGGGAAAGAGGGGGGAAAGGGGTGATGAGGAGGGGAAGAGGGGTGGAGAGAGGGGGAAAGGGGGGGGAAGAGGGGGGTAAAGGTTGGGAAGAGGGGGGGAATGGGGGGACAGCGGGCGGAAGGGGCGAATAGGGGGGGAAAAGGAGGGGAAGGTGCGGGAAAGAAAGGGGGAAGCGGGGGGAAGAAGGGTGGAGAGGGGGGAAGAGAGGGGGAATCGGGGGAGAGGAGGGGGGGTGGAGGGGAAGTGGGCGTAAGAGGGGGGAAAGGGGGGGGGGACGAGGGGGGAAGAGGGACGGAAGGGGGTGGAAGAGGGGTGGAGAGAGGGGGATGGTGCGAGACGGAGGGAGAAGGGGAGTAGGGAGAGACAAGGCGGGGAAATGGCGTCGAGAAGTTGAGAGAGAGGGAAATGGAGTGAGAGTGAAGCTAAAGAAGGCAGCAAAGAGGGTTGGGTAGACACTGGAAGGTGGAGCAGGGCAACACGGTGGAATGGAAAGGGGGGAAACAGCTCAAGCCACTGATTCAACATACCGGAAGGGGGTGGCAGCTCGCAAGTGGTGGTGTTGGCAGTGCCGGCAGCAGTGACAGCAACGTAGCCACTGGCGCAGGAGCAGGAGAGGGACGGCGGCCAACCGCTCTGCACCACACACTGCCCCGCACCCGCACCCCCACAGGGTCCCTGCCCTGGCTCTATCCCACAAACCGTGACACAATCTGTTGCCCCCCGCTGCTGCCCCAACCCCTCACTCCCCAAACAATTCCCTTCCACAGCCAGCCATGCCACAGCGCTGCTATTTCCCCCGCCCTCCCCTCCTGCTCCAGTTCCCTTCTGCTCCTCCCCCTGCGTCACCCACACCCACTGAGAGTTCGTTGCATCCTGGACCGCCCAGGGGGGAAGGGACTGGGGTTGGGGGGTCGCTGGGAGGACGAGTGAGGGGATGGGGGGTGAGGAGGAGGAGGAAGAGAGGGTGATGTTGGGGGAGGGGGAGAGGGAGCCGTAAAGGTAGTTGCTGCGAAGGTCCAGGCTGATGGCCGGCATGTTTTGGAAGGTTGCAGCATCCATGAAGAGCAGATTGTTGCTGACGTCACTGGAGACAGGTGCAGAGTAAGGGGCAGGGGTGAAGGGGAGAGGAGAGGTCAGGAGCGGAGATGGCCTGAAAGATAAGGAGGCGGCATTCACAGCACGATTGGAGGTCGAAGGTTACAAACGAGAGTGCCAGGGTGATGAGCGAAGGGGGCAAAACTGAAGGGCGAAGGGTGAAGGTTGAAGGGAGGTTGAAGGGCGAAGGGTGAAGGGGCGAACGGACATGAGTTGGACGGAGGAGAGGAAGGGCAGGCACTGAGGGAGGGCCCCCCAGAAGGCGTTGCTGCCCAGGAGCCTGCAGGTGGACGGGTGGGCAGGTGGACAGGTGGAAGGGTGGACAGGTGGAAGGGCGGGAAGGTGTGCACATGGGAAGGTGGGCAGGTGGGAAGGTGGGCAGGTGGGAAGGTGGGCAGGTGGGAAGGTGGGCAGGTGGGAAGGTGGGCAGGTGGGAAGGTGGGCAGGTGGGAAGGTGGGCAGGTGGGAAGGTGGGCAGGTGGGAAGGTGGGCAGGTGGGAAGGTGGGCAGGTGGGAAGGTGGGCAGGTGGGAAGGTGGGCAGGTGGGAAGGTGGGCAGGTGGGAAGGTGGGCAGGTGGGCAGGTGGGCAGGTGGGAAGGTGGGCAGGTGGGAAGGTGGGCAGGTGGGAAGGTGGGCAGGTGGGCAGGTGGGCAGGTGGGAAGGTGGGCAGGTGGGAAGGTGGGCAGGTGGGAAGGTGGGCAGGTGGGCAGGTGGGCAGGTGGGCAGGTGGAGACATGGGGCAAACGAGGCAATGGGAGAACGCGAGACAAGAAGAGAGGGTGAGGTGAGAGGAGCGAGGAGGTGAGGAAGCAAGCAAGATGGATGGTGTGGGTAGATGACAGCACCCAAAAGGATGGCAGTAGGAAGAAGGCAACTAGCACAGGGTGTAAGTGCAATGCATTGTCACCAGTACAAGGCTTTGCTTGCATGGGCATCTGAAAAGCATTCTCCACATTCATGGAAACCCACATTCATGGAAACCCACATTCATGGAAACCCACATTCATGGAAACCCACATTCATGGAAACCCACATTCATGGAAACCCACATTCATACCTGCCTGCTTGCAACTGGGCCCACGGGTAACATAACCTGATTGCTACACTGTGTGAATGCCAAGTCATCTGCGCATTACACTATCCAAACATTGCATGGTGAGCGCGTTGCAGAGTGTGGATGGTGCACCGAGTGAACGTTACAGCATGTGAACGTTACAGCATGTGAGCGTTACATGATCTGCAGCACGGATTGGCAGAGGTACTCGGGGATGGGGCCTGACAGCTGGTTGTGGTGCAGCGCCCTGCAGGCATGGGCGGACAGGAAGCAGGAGGGGAGGGGGGACGAGAAGCAGGAGAGGGTGGGGGACGAGAAGCAGGAGAGGGTGGGGGACGAGAAGCAGGAGAGAGGGGGGGGACGAGAAGCAGGAGAGGGTGGGGGACGAGAAGCAGGAGAGGGTGGGGGACGAGAAGCAGGAGAGAGGGGGGGGACGAGAAGCAGGAGAGGGTGGGGGACGAGAAGCAGGAGAGAGGGGGGGGACGAGAAGCAGGAGAGAGGGGGGGGACGAGAAGCAGGAGAGAGGGGGGACGAGAATCAGGAGAGGGTGGGGGGACGAGAAGCAGGAGGGGAGGGGGGACGAGAAGCAGGAGAGGGTGGGGGACGAGAAGCAGGAGGGAGGGGGGGGACGAGAAGCAGGAGAGAGGGGGGGGACGAGAAGCAGGAGAGAGGAGGGGGACGGGAAGCAGGAGAGGGTGGGGGACGGGAAGCAGGGATGGGCAGCCGGGAAGCAGGTATAGGCGGATAGGAAGCAGGGGGTGGTGGGCGGACGAGAAGCAGGGATGGGCGGCCGGGAAACAGGAGGGGATTGGGGGCTGGGGGATGGGCCAGAAGCAGGTGGAGGCATGCGCGATGGCGGGGCAGGGGACGCATGCCAAGCAAGCACAAACGACTCAAATACAGCACAAGCAGTGAAGCTGGCTGACGAGAGTAGGAGCAACGACATGTGGTGGCACTCACAGCATGGCTCCACACTCACAGCATGGCTCCACACTCACAGCATGGCTCCACACTCACAGCATGGCTCCACACTCACAGCATGGCTCCACACTCACAGCATGGCTCCACACTCACAGCATGGCTCCACACTCACAGCATGGCTCCACACTCACAGCATGGCTCCACACTCACAGCATGGCTCCACACTCACAGCATGGCTCCACACTCACAGCATGGCTCCACACTCACAGCATGGCTCCACACTCACAGCATGGCTCCACACTCACAGCATGGCTCCACACTCACAGCATGGCTCCACACTCACAGCATGGCTCCACACTCACAGCATGGCTCCACACTCACAGCATGGCTCCACACTCACAGCATGGCTCCACACTCACAGCATGGCTCCACACTCACAGCATGGCTCCACACTCACAGCATGGCTCCACACTCACAGCATGGCTCCACACTCACAGCATGGCTCCACACTCACAGCATGGCTCCACACTCACAGCATGGCTCCACACTCACAGCATGGCTCCACACTCACAGCATGGCTCCACACTCACAGCATGGCTCCACACTCACAGCATGGCTCCACACTCACAGCATGGCTCCACACTCACAGCATGGCTCCACACTCACAGCATGGCTCCACACTCACAGCATGGCTCCACACTCACAGCATGGCTCCACACTCACAGCATGGCTCCACACTCACAGCATGGCTCCACACTCACAGCATGGCTCCACACTCACAGCATGGCTCCACACTCACAGCATGGCTCCACACTCACAGCATGGCTCCACACTCACAGCATGGCTCCACACTCACAGCATGGCTCCACACTCACAGCATGGCTCCACACTCACAGCATGGCTCCACACTCACAGCATGGCTCCACACTCACAGCATGGCTCCACACTCACAGCATGGCTCCACACTCACAGCATGGCTCCACACTCACAGCATGGCTCCACACTCACAGCATGGCTCCACACTCACAGCATGGCTCCACACTCACAGCATGGCTCCACACTCACAGCATGGCTGCACACTCACAGCATGGCTCCACACTCACAGCATGGCTCCACACTCACAGCATGGCTCCACACTCACAGCATGGCTCCACACTCACAGCATGGCTCCACACTCACAGCATGGCTCCACACTCACAGCATGGCTCCACACTCACAGCATGGCTCCACACTCACAGCATGGCTCCACACTCACAGCATGGCTCCACACTCACAGCATGGCTCCACACTCACAGCATGGCTCCACACTCACAGCATGGCTCCACACTCACAGCATGGCTCCACACTCACAGCATGGCTCCACACTCACAGCATGGCTCCACACTCACAGCATGGCTCCATTCCACTCACGCTCCACACTCACAGCATGGCTCCACACTCACAGCATGGCTCCACACTCACAGCATGGCTCCACACTCACAGCATGGCTCCACACTCACAGCATGGCTCCACACTCACAGCATGGCTCCACACTCACAGCATGGCTCCACACTCACAGCATGGCTCCACACTCACAGCATGGCTCCACACTCACAGCATGGCTCCACACTCACAGCATGGCTCCACACTCACAGCATGGCTCCACACTCACAGCATGGCTCCACACTCACAGCATGGCTCCACACTCACAGCATGGCTCCACACTCACAGCATGGCTCCACACTCACAGCATGGCTCCACACTCACAGCATGGCTCCACACTCACAGCATGGCTCCACACTCACAGCATGGCTCCACACTCACAGCATGGCTCCACACTCACAGCATGGCTCCACACTCACAGCATGGCTCCACACTCACAGCATGGCTCCACACTCACCCACTCACAGCATGGCTCCACACTCACAGCATGGCTCCACACTCACAGCATGGCTCCACACTCACAGCATGGCTCCACACTCACAGCATGGCTCCACACTCACAGCATGGCTCCACACTCACAGCATGGCTCCACACTCACAGCATGGCTCCACACTCACAGCATGGCTCCACACTCACAGCATGGCTCCACACTCACAGCATGGCTCCACACTCACAGCATGGCTCCACACTCACAGCATGGCTCCACACTCACAGCATGGCTCCACACTCACAGCATGGCTCCACACTCACAGCATGGCTCCACACTCACAGCATGGCTCCACACTCACAGCATGGCTCCACACTCACAGCATGGCTCCACACTCACAGCATGGCTCCACACTCACAGCATGGCTCCACACTCACAGCATGGCTCCACACTCACAGCATGGCTCCACACTCACAGCATGGCTCCACACTCACAGCATGGCTCCACACTCACAGCATGGCTCCACACTCACAGCATGGCTCCACACTCACAGCATGGCTCCACACTCACAGCATGGCTCCACACTCACAGCATGGCTCCACACTCACAGCATGGCTCCACACTCACAGCATGGCTCCACACTCACAGCATGGCTCCACACTCACAGCATGGCTCCACACTCACAGCATGGCTCCACACTCACAGCATGGCTCCACACTCACAGCATGGCTCCACACTCACAGCATGGCTCCACACTCACAGCATGGCTCCACACTCACAGCATGGCTCCACACTCACAGCATGGCTCCACACTCACAGCATGGCTCCACACTCACAGCATGGCTCCACACTCACAGCATGGCTCCACACTCACAGCATGGCTCCACACTCACAGCATGGCTCCACACTCACAGCATGGCTCCACACTCACAGCATGGCTCCACACTCACAGCATGGCTCCACACTCACAGCATGGCTCCACACTCACAGCATGGCTCCACACTCACAGCATGGCTCCACACTCACAGCATGGCTCCACACTCACAGCATGGCTCCACACTCACAGCATGGCTCCACACTCACAGCATGGCTCCACACTCACAGCATGGCTCCACACTCACAGCATGGCTCCACACTCACAGCATGGCTCCACACTCACAGCATGGCTCCACACTCACAGCATGGCTCCACACTCACAGCATGGCTCCACACTCACAGCATGGCTCCACACTCACAGCATGGCTCCACACTCACAGCATGGCTCCACACTCACAGCATGGCTCCACACTCACAGCATGGCTCCACACTCACAGCATGGCTCCACACTCACAGCATGGCTCCACACTCACAGCATGGCTCCACACTCACAGCATGGCTCCACACTCACAGCATGGCTCCACACTCACAGCATGGCTCCACACTCACAGCATGGCTCCACACTCACAGCATGGCTCCACACTCACAGCATGGCTCCACACTCACAGCATGGCTCCACACTCACAGCATGGCTCCACACTCACAGCATGGCTCCACACTCACAGCATGGCCCCACACTCACAGCATGGCCCCACACTCACAGCATGGCCCCACACTCACAGCATGGCCCCACACTCACAGCATGGCCCCACACTCACAGCATGGCCCCACACTCACAGCATGGCCCCACACTCACAGCATGGCCCCACACTCACAGCATGGCCCCACACTCACAGCATGGCCCCACACTCACAGCATGGCCCCACACTCACAGCATGGCCCCACACTCACAGCATGGCCCCACACTCACAGCATGGCCCCACACTCACAGCATGGCTCCCACACTCACAGCATGGCCCCACACTCACAGCATGGCTCCACACTCACAGCATGGCTCCACACTCACAGCATGGCTCCACACTCACAGCATGGCTCCACACTCACAGCATGGCTCCACACTCACAGCATGGCTCCACACTCACAGCATGGCTCCACACTCACAGCATGGCTCCACACTCACAGCATGGCTCCACACTCACAGCATGGCTCCACACTCACAGCATGGCTCCACACTCACAGCATGGCTCCACACTCACAGCATGGCTCCACACTCACAGCATGGCTCCACACTCACAGCATGGCTCCACACTCACAGCATGGCTCCACACTCACAGCATGGCTCCACACTCACAGCATGGCTCCACACTCACAGCATGGCTCCACACTCACAGCATGGCTCCACACTCACAGCATGGCTCCACACTCACAGCATGGCTCCACACTCACAGCATGGCTCCACACTCACAGCATGGCTCCACACTCACAGCATGGCTCCACACTCACAGCATGGCTCCACACTCACAGCATGGCTCCACACTCACAGCATGGCTCCACACTCACAGCATGGCTCCACACTCACAGCATGGCTCCACACTCACAGCATGGCTCCACACTCACAGCATGGTTCCACACTCACAGCATGGCTCCACACTCACAGCATGGCCCCACACTCACAGCATGGCTCCACACTCACAGCATGGCTCCACACTCACAGCATGGCCCCACACTCACAGCATGGCCCCACACTCACAGCATGGCCCCACACTCACAGCATGGCCCCACACTCACAGCATGGCCCCACACTCACAGCATGGCCCCACACTCACAGCATGGCCCCACACTCACAGCATGGCCCCACACTCACAGCATGGCCCCACACTCACAGCATGGCCCCACACTCACAGCATGGCCCCACACTCACAGCATGGCTCCACACTCACAGCATGGCTCCACACTCACAGCATGGCCCCACACTCACAGCATGGCTCCACACTCACAGCATGGCTCCACACTCACAGCATGGCTCCACACTCACAGCATGGCTCCACACTCACAGCATGGCTCCACACTCACAGCATGGCTCCACACTCACAGCATGGCTCCACACTCACAGCATGGCTCCACACTCACAGCATGGCTCCACACTCACAGCATGGCTCCACACTCACAGCATGGCTCCACACTCACAGCATGGCTCCACACTCACAGCATGGCTCCACACTCACAGCATGGCCCCACACTCACAGCATGGCTCCACACTCACAGCATGGCTCCACACTCACAGCATGGCTCCACACTCACAGCATGGCTCCACACTCACAGCATGGCTCCACACTCACAGCATGGCTCCACACTCACAGCATGGCTCCACACTCACAGCATGGCCCCACACTCACAGCATGGCCCCACACTCACAGCATGGCCCCACACTCACAGCATGGCTCCACACTCACAGCATGGCCCCACACTCACAGCATGGCTCCACACTCACAGCATGGCTCCACACTCACAGCATGGCTCCACACTCACAGCATGGCTCCACACTCACAGCATGGCTCCACACTCACAGCATGGCTCCACACTCACAGCATGGCTCCACACTCACAGCATGGCTCCACACTCACAGCATGGCTCCACACTCACAGCATGGCTCCACACTCACAGCATGGCTCCACACTCACAGCATGGCTCCACACTCACAGCATGGCTCCACACTCACAGCATGGCTCCACACTCACAGCATGGCTCCACACTCACAGCATGGCTCCACACTCACAGCATGGCTCCACACTCACAGCATGGCTCCACACTCACAGCATGGCTCCACACTCACAGCATGGCTCCACACTCACAGCATGGCTCCACACTCACAGCATGGCTCCACACTCACAGCATGGCTCCACACTCACAGCATGGCTCCACACTCACAGCATGGCTCCACACTCACAGCATGGCTCCACACTCACAGCATGGCTCCACACTCACAGCATGGCTCCACACTCACAGCATGGCTCCACACTCACAGCATGGCTCCACACTCACAGCATGGCCCCACACTCACAGCATGGCCCCACACTCACAGCATGGCCCCACACTCACAGCATGGCCCCACACTCACAGCATGGCCCCACACTCACAGCATGGCCCCACACTCACAGCATGGCCCCACACTCACAGCATGGCCCCACACTCACAGCATGGCCCCACACTCACAGCATGGCCCCACACTCACAGCATGGCCCCACACTCACAGCATGGCCCCACACTCACAGCATGGCCCCACACTCACAGCATGCCCCCACACTCACAGCATGGCCCCACACTCACAGCATGGCCCCACACTCACAGCATGGCCCCACACTCACAGTGTGGCCCCCACACTCACAGCATGCCCCCACACTCACAGCATGGCCCCACACTCACAGCATGGCCCCACACTCACAGCGTGGCCCCCACACTCACAGCGTGGCCAGGCGCTTGAGATTGATATGGCGCCTCTCCAGCGACCCTGAGAGCGTGTTGAATGAGAGGTCGCTGAGGACATGGGAGCGTGTTGAATGCGTGTTGAATGCGTGTTGACGGAGATATGGGAGAGAGGCATGCATGGGAGTATAAGGGAAAGAGAGACACATGGGTGGGCGGAAATGGGAGAAGAAAATGCGACGGGTGAGAGAATACGCACCAGGAAGGAAAGGGGAGGGTGCAGGAGGGGAAGGGGAGGGAGAGGGAAAGGAATGGAGGAAGTTTTTACTCACAAGATTCAAATGAAATGGTTACCAAGAAACTCGTAGTTACCAGGGCTTTTGTGGTTACCAGGGCTGTCATGGTTACCAGGGCTGTCTTGGCTACCAGGGCCTACGCACATGATGAGAGCTGGACTGGCAGCAGCGTTGGGCAGAGGGCCTGAGAGGCGGTTGCGAGACACGTTGCTGGGATGATGAGTTGTGTGGCAGAGGGGGCGGAGGTGAGAAGACACGAGGACCGATTGTGAGGATGAAGGAATCCAAGACGAATGGCTGGTTGCTAGAAGCTGCTCTTCTGATGCCGGAAATTACTGATGGGTGGTGGTAGTATAGATAGGGAAGTTGACTGACAGGTAGGAGAGCTGTCGCAGGTTGAAAATGGAGGGAGGCAGAGAGCCGGAGAGTAGGTTGATGGCCATATTCCTGCCATGGCATGGCGTGGAGTGGCGTGGGGAACAGTAGGGGGTAGACATGGGTGGTTGATAGCCATGTCCCTGCCATGGCGTGGAGTGGCGTGGCGTGGTGAACAATAGGGTTCACATATAGGAACGATACATGCATGTAGGCATGTCGTGGCCATACAGGTGGGTCATTGCATACATGTGGGTCATGTTGGGCATGCGGCCAAAGAAGAGCGGAACAGAGCCATTCAATGTGTTGGCTGAGATGTCACTGCGGAGCATGGGGGGATGGGGAAATATGGCAGGGCATGGGGGATGACAGAGATTTAGGGGAGATGAAGTGATGGGAGGCGAGTGGATACGAGATCCAGTAGGCTGGAACGGGAAACAGCCATAATGATACAGCATGGGGAAATGAATGGTGTGGTAAGCTGGTACAATGTGCCCCCTACACCGTGCCCATGCGCCATACCCCATGCCTCATGCCCCATGCCCACTGGCCCACACTCCATGCACCATGTCCCATGCCCCATGCCACAAGCCCCACACCCCTGCCCACACGAGGGCCTCACACAATCTCAAGGGAGCGCAGAGGAGAGAGGGCCGGTGTGATGTCTCCTGACAGCTGATTGGACGACATGTTGCTGGGAGGGGGCATGGATGGGTATGGTATGGGGTACAGGGAATGAAGCTTAGGGTGTGGAGTATGGGGAAAAGGTTATTAGGTAATGGTATTTCGCACAAGGCATGCCATATGGAATGCAAGCGGGCATGCCAGTGCAAAGAATCGAGTAAAATTGCATGGCATGACGTGGTGCATGACATGGCATGACGTGGAGCATGACATGGCATGACGAGAAGCAGCAGTGGCAAGCAAGAGAGAGGAGGGCGCACAGGTAGGTGAGGGAGGAGAGGCGGGAGAGAGCCCGGGGAATGGAGCCCTGCAGAAGGTTGTGCGCCAGGTTGCTGTGGGAAGGGGAGGACGGGGTGGACAGGGGTAGACACGGGTGGGTGGGGGTGGGTAGAAGCAGGAGTTGTCAATATTAAGATGTGACAGAGACGTACCATGTCATCTGATGTGCAATGTCACACGCTCACATACCACCACACATGCTCACACATGTGTCGTCATCTCACATGCTGACATGGCACCTCACATTTGCTGACATGTCATCTCACATGCTGACGTGGCAGCTCACATGCTGACATGGCACCTCACATTGCTGACATGTCATCTCACATGCTGACGAGGCCAGTGGGGTTGCTGACAGCTGGCGGCACGGTGCCAGTGAACTGGTTGGAAGAGAGGTCGCTGTAGGTGAGGAGGGCGGCCACAGGGGCGGGGAGAGGGGTGGAATGCAGTGGTGGGGAGTGGAATGTGGGCAGGGAGAGGTGCGGAGGTGAGGAGTGGAGTGAGGGAGAGGTGTACAAGCGAGGAGAGAGGCAATTGTGGAGAAGGGGAGCGGCAAGGAGTGTGAAAATGAACATCTTCACTCCACCTTGCTCTACCACCCATGCATTGCATTGTACCCACGCATGAATAATGGACAGCAGAGTGAGGGCACACAGCAAATCAAGCGCACATAGCAAAGCAAGGGCATACAGCACAGTGAGGTAGGTGAGGCGTGAAATGAAGGCTGGAATGGACCCCGTGAGAAGGTTGCCTGATATGTCTCTGGAGGGGAGAGAGCACAGGGACACGGCGGGGGGGAAACACGGAGAGTATGGGCGGTGATGGGAGAAGCTATACCATACAGAGGGGCTTGGGGCTGTGATAGGAGAGACAGAGAGGGAATGGGGGTGGCAGGGGAGGGGGTTAAGGAAAGCATGAGGGTAAGGCATGAGAGTGAGGGACAAGAGAGAGGGATATGCATAGTGCATAGACAGGTGGGAAGGGCAAGGCAATGCAGAGGTGGCAGGTGGGAAGGGCAGGAGGGCGGAGATGTGGTAAGGTGAGGGCAACGCACAGGTCGTAGAGGTAGGTGAGGGTGGAGAGGGAGGGATCGAGTGCTCCCGAGAATCTGTTGTGCGCGAAGTTGCTGGAGGATGGAAGAGGGGAGCCGTGCCGAGGGGATGAAGGGGGGAGAGGGAAGAGGGGATGGTGATGGGTGTGGGGGTGGGGAGACATGGTGATGGAATGGAGTGTGCTGGATGGATGGGCAGCCATGGGTTTGTGTGAGAGAGAATGGTTGCGCTGGTGTGAGGGGTTGAGGGTGTCGAGATGATGGGAAGGCATGGTGGTAAGTGCGATGGTGGAAAGCGGTCGTCAGAGTCCATGGCTGATGCCTGTGTGTTGCTGTGTTTTGAGTCGACTCAAAAGCCAACTGGTGGAAAGAATGATTGTGGAAAGTGGTCGTCAGAGTCCATGGCTGATGCCTGGATGATCAGTCTGCTGCTCACCCACTCACAACCCTAAACCCTGAACACCTCACGCACACGGTAGAGATAAGAGAAAAGAATGCTCCCCCCTTTTTCCCGGTAAAGAATGCTCTGCCCGATAAATTGTTGTGAGATATGTCACTGGGAAGGGAGGGAAACCACGGCAGGGAGGGGCAACATTTCAGAGCAGAGAAATGGTTTGGGAGAGGGATAAAAAGGGGGAGTGTGATATGGGGGTGGTGGGGGGTGTGATAACAATGTTAGGGGGTGGCTAAAGCTAGGATTCGGGGAGAGATGGAGGGCGAAGGTGGTGGGGGCTTGCAAAGGCTCAGCGCTCCGAGCCTCTTGCCAAGCCGGCTTGTCTAGTTGTGATGCTGATATTCTTATTACAGACTTGGCTGTGCTGTGCTCTCCCCATTTATTCGATGACTAAGGACTGTTCAAGGGAGAGGAGGGAAGGCTGACTTGTTGCATGTGATTTCTGAGAGTTCTTTAGAACCACATGAAACAAGGGGGAGGGGCGACGCACAGGGTGTAGACGGAGGCGGAGGGGTGACGCACAGGGTGGAGAAGATGGCGGCGTTAAAGTCGAAGGGGATTTCCCCCGAGAGGCCGTTGTACGACACATTGCTGCCAGACAGGGGTGCACAGGGATGCACAGTGGGGCATAGGAACCCATAGGGAGGCACAGGGGTGCACAGCGGAGCACAGGGATGCACAGGGGGCACAGGGGCACACAGCAGCCCACAGTGACAAGAAATTAATAGGCAGGGAAAGGAGGATAGAGATCAGGTTGGAAATAAAAACTTTTGGATGGAAGGAAAAGAGTGTGCCTCACAAGCGGAGGGCTCCAAAGCAGAGGGGGCAGAAGCAAAGGGGGCAGAAGCAGAGGGGGCAGAAGCAGAGGGGGCAGAAGCAGAGGGGGCAGAAGCAGAGGGGTCAGAAGCAGAGGGGTCAGAAGCAGAAAGGTCAGAAGCAGAGGGGGCATAAGCAGAGGGGGCAGAAGCAGAGGGGCTCACAAATTAAGGCCGTCAGCAGGTTCAGGGCCGGAGGGCAGCGGCCCTGTGAGGTCGTTCGCTGACACGTCACTGGCAGACCATGGTGGGGGGAGGGATGGGTGTGGTGTGGGAGGAGGGACGAGGTGAGTTTAGAGTCGACTCAAAACCTGCGAGACCGCTCAGTGACATGTCACTGGTAGGACGTAATGAGGAGGTGGCGGGGGAGTGGAGGTGGGAGGGAGAAAATTATGAGGCGAGGATGGAGCAGAAGGAGAAGGAGAAGTTGGTGTATTGAGTAGGCGTGACAGCAAAAGGCTGAAATGGATGTGAGGAGGAGGATGTATGGACGCTTGATGGAGAGAGGAGGGAGGGCATGCCATGGTGCATCGCACATGGAGCATGGCGCATGTCGTATGGCACATGCCGCATGGTGCATGGAGCATGGCACATGATGCCGACGCATGGCACATGATGCCGACACATGGCACATGATGCCGACACATGGCACATGATGCCGACACATGGCACATGATGCCGACACATGGCACATGATGCCGACACATGGCACAAGGTATTGTGGTAAGAGGCATACAAGTCGGTCGGGTTGCTGGCGAAGGTGGGTATGGAACCATTGAAGCGATTGCAGCACAGGGAGCTGCGCGTGGCCATGGGGAGACAAAATCGGGAGATGGAGAGAGGGAAAGGCATTTGGGTGAAGGCAGAAGAAGTTTTTGTTGTACTGACAGGGCACACAGGCCGAGAGAAGTGCTGACAAGGCATGGAGGGCGAGAGAGGTGCTGACACTGCGTTGAGGGAGGAGAGAGGTGCTGACATTCTGGTGAGGGAGTAGAGAGCAGCGAGGGGCGCCAGCGACCCCGTGAACAAGTTGTTGCCCAGCCAACTGCCGTGGAGGGAGGGGGGAACATGGATGGTGCATGCGGGTTGTGGGGCAGGGGGCAGGGGGGTGTGGGATGGAGGGGGGGATGGGGGTGTGGGGAGTAGCAAGGAGGTGAAGGATATGGTGGAAAAGGGGTTTGCTGCGACATTGGTCCGTGGCAGATGTGGCGAGTGGTATGATGGACGCTGATTGGCAGGATGGTGGCAGATACTGGCAGTGTTCATGGAATGGCATGGCATGGCGCAGAAAGGAGCTGAGACTTAGATGGAACTGAGACTCACATGGAGCTGAGACACGGCCGGCATGGCATGGGACAGGGTTGAGCAAAGGCCGAACACGAACATGTTCGCGTTCGGTGAACACCTGGTTTTTTAGAATTCTAAAAAACCATAACATGTTTGTGTTTGGCGAACACCTCCAACGAAAAAGGGTGTTCGTTTTGGTGCTCAAGCCTAGCATGGCATGGCATGGCATGGCATGGGATGGCATGGTATGGCATGGTATGGCATGGCATGGCATGGGATGGCATGGGATGGCATGGCATGGCATGGCATGGCACGGCATGGAGGTGAGACTCACATGGACCTGAGGCTGGTCATGGCGGAGAAGGACTGGGGGATGGTCCCCGACAGCAGGTTGTGTGACAAGTCTCTGCATGCACACAAGTCATTTGGCATGCACACGTGTCATTTAGCATGCACACAAGTCATTTGGCATGCACACAAGTCATTTGGCATGCACACAAGTCATTTGGCATGCACACAAGTCATTTGGCATGCACACAAGTCATTTGGCATGCACACAAGTCATTTGGCATGCACACAAGTCATTTGGCATGCACACAAGTCATTTGGCATGCACACAAGTCATTTGGCATGCACACGTGTCATTTGGCATGCACACGTGTCATTTGGCATGCACACAAGTCATTTGGCATGCACACAAGTCATTTGGCATGCACACAAGTCATTTGGCATGCACACAAGTCATTTGGCATGCACAAGTGTCATTTGGCATGCACACAAGTCATTTGGCATGCACACAAGTCATTTGGCATGCACACAAGTCATTTGGCATGCACACAAGTCATTTGGCATGCACACAAGTCATTTGGCATGCACACAAGTCATTTGGCATGCACACAAGTCATTTGGCATGCACACAAGTCATTTGGCATGCACACAAGTCATTTGGCATGCACACAAGTCATTTGGCATGCACACAAGTCATTTGGCATGCACACAAGTCATTTGGCATGCACACAAGTCATTTGGCATGCACACAAGTCATTTGGCATGCACACAAGTCATTTGGCATGCACACAAGTCATTTGGCATGCACACAAGTCATTTGGCATGCACACAAGTCATTTGGCATGCACACAAGTCATTTGACATGCACACAAGTCATTTGACATGCGCATGCACACGGCTGTGAGATGATAGTGACTGGGATACAATACAATGATTGAGTGGAGGCGGTTGAAGGTTGAAAGCTCAGAAAATACTTGCAGATTACAGCGTTAAAAGGCCTTCACAGGCTGCAGAGCTCACAAGTGCTGTACCGGGGCCGCTCACATGGTCACTCAGATGCTCACATGGTCACTCAGATTAGACATGGGCAATTGACGAGGCGAGTGATACTCGCCTCGTTTTGGGCCTACTCATTTTAAAACGAGGCGAGGCGAGTATTACTCGCCGAGTAAAATCGCCAATTGTCCTACTCGTTACTCGCCCAAACAGGCGAGTACTTTTTTACTCGCTATGGATAAAAAGTACTCGTGGCGAGGCAAATAATACTCGCCTCGCCTGGATATATTTCAACATTTTGGAATGTTATTTAGTGAAACCAACAGCCACCCTTTCCCAAATATCCCATTCCTGCAGCCTACATAATAACTGCCCACGACATAAGAACTGAAACGCTAGTTGGTTGCTAGATCTACATAGTTGGCCTCTAGTTGGTCGACCATTGGTCGTGCACGATCTAAAAAGCTGGCGGTCTGTAGACGTGGATGCTTGGTACCGCACATACATGCCGGGAGGCACACGCACATGCCAGGCAGCACACATACATGCTGGGCAGCACACATACATGCTGGGCGGCACACATACATACCGGGAGGCGCAAATACATGCTGAGTGGCGCACATACATGCCGGGCAACATACATGCCGGGCGGCACAAATACATGCCGGGCGGGGCACATACATGCCGGGCGGCGCACACATACAGTTCGTTGAGAGAGATTATGTTGCCGATGGCATCAATGCTGCCCGAAAACTTGTTCAATGACAGGTACCTGGTGGTGGTAGGGGCGGCATGGCATGGCACGGTTTGGCATGGCATGGCACGGTTGGCATGGCACGGCATGTCATGGCATGTCATGGCATGGCATGGCATAGCAGGACATAGGAGCGGGTAGAGCCAACTGTTGACAGGCCAGCTGGTGTAAGTGGATGACTGACAGGGACGAAAATGTGACTGACAGGGGCGAAAATGTGACTGACAGGGACGAAAATGTGACTGACAGGGACGAAAATGTGACTGACAGGGACGAATATGTGACTGACGGGGACGAAAATGTGACTGACAGGGACGAAAATGTGACTGACAGGGACGAAAATGTGACTGACAGGAGGACCTGTTGACTGAAAGGTAGGAATAGTTGACTGTAAGGTAGAAATTGTTGATGGACAGGTGGGAAGCGTTATCTGACAGGTATGAGAGCTTGGTGAGTCTGCTGAAGGAGGTGGGGAAGGGCCCTGAAAAGGAGTTGTTGGTGAGGTCCCTGCCATGCATGCATGCACACACACATGCATGCACACACTCGCACACATGCATGCACACACACATGCATGCACACACAGAAAGAGCAGTCAGAGAGAACGTTAGAGGAATTAGGTCAATGCCATTAGTACTGACGGAAGGGCTAACTCTAAAGAGGGACAACACTAAGTGACAAAGGAGCGACGTTAACTGAGAGAAGGGCGAAGTTAACTGATAAAGCAGCGGCGTTCACTGACAATGACGTGAGATTGACGAGGTTTCCGATTTCAGAAGGGATGGAGCCATGCAGAAAATTGTCACGCAGAGACCTGCGAGTGGCCAGGGTTGTCAAGGGTGGCACCAGCGCTGATCACATGCATGGCATGGCAGGACATACATGGGCGATCGCATGACATGCTAGCACACTTCCTTTTTGGACAAATCTTGCTTGTCAGACACGGGTGACCGCATGGTCTTCCCTTTCGGACAAAGCAAGAGCTGACCTTCTGCTCTACATCACGCACGGCACAGGCGATTATATCGCCTTCTTAGTTGCTGAAAACAGTCAAGAAGCATTGAGCTGATGGTGCATATGCAAGGTAGCGGCCCAGTCCCACCACATGGCTTTCAGTGTGCTTCAAGCGCAGACGCTCACAGGAATTCAAGGTGCACCAGCTGGAAAATATCTGAAGGAAGCTCCCCTCGGATTTCCTTGTACGGCCAATCTCTGCACGCACAACCGCCACGAGTCAAGGCAAGAACGTGTCACTCGCAAGCATCTCGTACTCCTCCTGCTACCCTAACCTGGGCATCAGCACCAGCGACGGCATGAGCAGCAGCAGCAGCAGCAGCAGCAGCAGCAGCAGCAGCAGCAGCAGCAGCACTGACATATGAGTGACGTAACCATCGGCGCTGCAAGTGAGGCCGACATTGACGCAGGTGGTGACGTAACTCAGGTCGTACGGAAAGTAATCTAGACCCAGTGTCACAACTGATAGAGTTCGCGCTGCCAAGCATTAGATGAAGAAATTTACCGTTAGGCCCAGACTGCATGAGAGTAAACTTATGTTGGGTGGCAGTATTGCGATGAGATTGCGCTATAGACCATTGCGTGAAATACTGAAAGAGAAGCAACATTGCGTGAAATACTGAAGAACCGAAGCGACATTGATGTGAATAGAAGCTGATATTGCGTGAAATAGTGAGAAAAGAAGCCGACATGCGAGAAACGAAGCCAACGTTGCGTGAAGGAAAGCCGACCGCGCGATAGCGAGCTTACTCTCCGTGTCGTTGAGCGGCCAGAAGCACTTCTGCAGGCTCGTGGCCTGACCCGCGCACAGCACGGCGTTACCCGCCAACAGCAGCAGCAGCTGCAGCACAGCCGCTAACGCCAAGGCGCTCCCCTTGGAAGCCGCCATCGATCCACCCGAGATACGGATCTTACCGCTGACGGATACCGAACCGAAGTTTGCGAAGAGTGAAGGAGAATCTACGCGCACAAGCGCGCGTACTACGCGGTCCTAGTAATTAGTCGCTCGTGGAGGCTATCAGGCTGTCAGACTCTCAGACTGCGAAAGGTGTGATGTGCAGCAAAGTAACACCAGGATACCTCTACCAGATGATTAGACTCCAGAATGTTGAAATCAAGCCAGGTATGTGACACAAGCCTTTGAATTGAACCCTTTTACTCTGTCACCCTCTTCCAACCTATAGCAGCTTCGGCTCCGAAACAATCGTTCTCCTTACACAAGGGTATTAGCGCGAATGCTTCATGCTTCATTTCGTTCTTCTCCCTCTCTCTTTGGTGCTGTGCTTCATGCAAAGTGCTTGATGTCTGCACCGTGCTTTGTCAAGCGGAGCAAGCTATCGTCACAACTGGGCAAAACACGACTTTACACTGTGCTGTGCAAGCACAGCCATAGTCGACTCGTTCGCCTGACGCAACAGCGCGGGTAGCGTGGTGCAGCAGACGGCTAATGGATCTCAAAACCTGGAGGTTCACTGAAGCCGAGGCAGTCATGCATGGCTGCTTCGGCAACCTGGCGTCGAGCTCAGCTCGGTTCCCAAACCAACCAGGCCAGGGCATGCCGCGCAAATTCGAGGCAAGGTTCGGTTTGAAGGGTCTGGCAAGGTTTGGCGAAAAATAACCTGCCATGCCACTACCCTGATTTTGCTGCGTGCCACCTGGCCAGGCCGGGTGCCGGGCGGCGGGAAAACGAAAAGAGAGCCCTGCCGAAGGTTGACCCAAGGAGAGCTTTTGGGTGGAAGTACAGTACGAACGCAATATCCAGGGAGACGAACAAGGTTCATATCCGAAACCCCCTGGCTTCGCGTAAAACGCGCTAAGCAGTTTGTCAAGCGAAATTTGGAAATGATAAAATTCTTTGGTCAGCGTGGATTCTTATGTTTCGATCCTTTTTTTCTCATTTCTCCACAGAAACATGGCAATGGAGACACCATTCATTCGTTCATTATCAGCCCACCATCCCTCCTTCCAGGTAATGACGCAACATCACATCAACGCAAGCTGTTTTCTCAGCTACCGTATATTATTCATGTTAGAAAACTATTTTGTTTCACATGCCGTAGGGTGCCTTACATGTTAGCCTGTCCAGCAACTGGAGAAGCAAAACCACCTTAACCAGGAATGGGCTGCTTTGTTAGATCAAGACACAATATTTCGTTCCATGTGCTATGATGCCATCATAGCTCTGCACGACTGCTGCCAGCCACAGCATCCTGCTCCGATCTGATTTGATTGTACAGATTCCCTACAGGACCCACTCTGACCACGTTGGTCATGAATGTCTTGAAGCGAGTAGATGACTCCACATTGCTGCTCGTGCCATGGGGGCAGGGCGGAACAGGGGTTGAGGGGGGGTGGGAGGAAGAGAGAGCAGAGCAGAGGTAGTACTTGGTGTTCAGCAACAGAGGCAGGGGTGAATGGAGGGTGTGAGTGTGAAAGCCTGAAGGCTTTTGCAGCAAGCAGGTGGCGAAGTGGCACTAGCAGAAGTGCATGCACGCCACTCACCTGACACGAGACAGCGCATGCACGGCGCGCGGGCGCTGCGGATCATGTCGTCGTTGCGGTCCACCTCCTGCTTCAGACGCTCATTGGGGTCCACATGTGGGTGGGACAGTGCGAGCGTATCTCACCTAATCTTGGACAGTGCGTGCGCATCTCACCTAATCTTGGACAGTGCGAGCACAGCACGCAGGGTGCTGCGAATCATATCCTCATTGCGGTCCACCTCCTGCTTCACCGCGTCCGCCTTGACTCGTGTCGTGATGGTCTTCTCTAAGGGGTCGACCAGAGCTTCCACCACTGCCAGCACCGATGGGGCGCACTTCTCTGCTAGCTTCGCCAGCACCAGGTGGCATGGCATCTTCACATCGTAGTTGTCTGCACCCCGTGGTCATAACGGATGGAGGGGGGCGGGGGGGCGAGGGGAGGGGAGGAGACGAGGATCGGGGAGGGGAGGGGAGGGGAGGGGAAGGGAGCGATGAGAAGAAGAAGAGATTCAGAGAAGGGAAACAGGAGGTACAGAGGACTAGATGTGTCAAGGGGATAAACGTACCCGAGAGGCCAGAGATGAGGAAGGGGGTGATGAAGGCGGCCGGTTGGATGCGGTGCAGGCAGGTGGAGAGTAGTGTGTCCATGCAGTCAAAGGCTGCCTTGCGCAGCTCCAGCCCATCATCCACTGTGTGCTTGAATGGGCCCAGATCAACGGTCCGGATCATCTCAGGCTGCATGTGGCAGGAGAGGAAGCGGGTGAGCAAGAAATGTGAAGACCTAACTTGAAATGAATTCATACTCGTTCCTAAAAAAGGCAAGAGCAAAACGAGCCTTCCACTCTCAATTCCCCGTCTAGAATCTTTTAGGAAGTGGATACTGTTTGCCACACATCTTTGTCAGATAGTACCTTGACCCGCATCTGGTCGTATAGCAGCGGCAGCAGCTCTGGCAAGAGGTCCTCAACCAGCCCTGGCTTGTTGTGGGCTGCTGTCGTCAGCGCCAGCACTGCTGCCCGCCGCACATGCTGCAATGAAGGGGAAGAGTGAGGAGGGCAGCACGGGTAACAGCTCATGTGGTTAAGGAGGAAATGCAGGAACAAAGGAGGCTCGTGTAGAATGAGTGAAGATCTCATGTGGTCAAGGACGTGCAGCAACTACCGATTCCAGTCGCTTCAACTTCCCATATTTCCAAACCCTAAACCCTAAACCCAGAAACATATCTCAAACTTTATCCCGCACCCTTCACACCCTCCCCTCACCCTGTCGGAGTCTCGGAGCAGGAAGAGGAAGGAGGCGAGGTGGGGTTTGAGATGATCGTCAATGGGCTGGGCGGAGTCAGTGAGAGTGAACTTGAGTGACGCCACCACCGTTGCCCGCGTGAAGGTGGATGGGCTGCTCACTCGCTCCTGCCAGCGGGCAGGGAGTTGGGGAGGAAAGATGCGAATTTGAAAGAATAATGGGGTGGTGGGGTTTGAGGTGAGCATCGATGGGAGTGAGTGAGAGTGGAGTGAGTGAGAGTGAACTTGAGCGCTGCCACCATGTGAGTTCAAAGTGGAGCGCTGACCTTGAGAGCGGGCACGAGGCGCGGCGGGTCAATGAGGGCAAGGCGGCCCAAGCACTCGGCCACAACGTCCCACACGCCCTCCTCGTCGCTCTCACTGTGTGTGAACAGCAGCGCCAACACCTTGAAATGTATTCCACACCCAGCTCACCTTTAGTGCGGGCACAAGGCGTGGCGGGTCGATGAGTGCGAGGCGGCCCAAACACTCCGCCACCACGTTCCGCACGCCCTCCTCGTCGCTCTCACTGTGCGTGAACAGCAGCGCCAACACCTTGCCCACGTTCTCCCCCTCCAACTCCACTGCCGCACTGCTGCCACTCGCCGCTCGCCCAGAGATGATCTACAGGGGGGGGCAAGGGGAGAAAGGGTGGAAAGACTCGGATTATGTAACGAACTTTTAAGATGGCTCAGAACATGTCTGATGTTCATCCCTCTAGCTGCACTTCTGTGCTTCTGCCTTGAGTGAATGTGCTCACCTCTTTGAGCGAGTGCAGCAGCAGGTACTGCAGTTTGGGCTGGGAGTCGATCTGCTGCAGCACGAACGGCAGGTACTGGCTGTGGTTTCCCACCGCTATGCTCCCCAGCGCAAACGATGCCGCTGCCTTCACCTCCTCTAAGGGCGACGCCAGCGCGGACATGACGAGGGTGGGGAGCGTGGTGTGTGCACTCAGATCTACCCGCCGGCCTATCTCGCCGAGGCACAGCAGGGAGAGCAGTTGCTTGTGCTGGTGGCAGGCAGATGAGGGGTGAGAAGGGAAGGAGGGATGTGGAGAGGGTTGCGAAGTGGGTGGAGTTAGAACCACAAGCGGCACACTGCCATGTTTACACCCACTGCTATTACAAGCACTGCCACATCCACACTGCTATAGTCTCACTGCAGGCACACTCTCTCTAGCAGCCTCACCGTGTCAGCAGAGTGAGCAGCACCCTCTAGATTGCTCATCAGCGTCCTCACAGTGGCAGCACACTGGCCAGCACCAGCAGCCACACACAGCACGGCAGCACACTGCGTTATGCACTCTCTCTTTCACTCTCCCTCTACCACACTCACCGTGTCAGCAGGATGAGCAGCACCCTCTAGATTGCTCATCAGCGTCCTCACAGTAGCAGCACACTGGTCAGCGCCAGCAGCCACACACAGCACAGCAGCACACTGTGCCACTGACGAGAAGGCGGGGCGGGCAGCGGCAGAGGAGGAGGCGGCGGCGGCAGCAGCAGCGGGGGACATGGAGGAGGAGAAGGGGCGGCCTGCTGAGAGCAGCGCGGCGAGCAGTGCGTCAAAGGACGTGGCTGATGCCTGCACCTGCACTGCAAAGAACTCTTGCAGGGCCTGGCGGGGGAGGGGAGGGGAACAGGGAGAAGGGGAAAGGAGGGGGAGAAGGGGAAAGGAGGGGGAGAATGGTCCAGGAGGGTAGTGAGTCGAAGGGATTGGCTGACGCCTGCACCTGCACCGCGAAGAACTCTGGTAGGGCATGGAAAGAAGGGGGGCCAGAGAGGAGGAGAGGCATGGAGAAATGGAAGCGGAGACATGGAACGAGAGCAGCGAGTCAAAGGACGTGGCTGATGCCTGCACTGCAAAGAACTCTTGTAGGGCCTGGCGGATGCATGAGGGGGGAAGAGGAGCGGGGAGAGGAGGGAAGGGGGTCGAAGCGGAGGGGAAGAAAGAGACGCATGGAGAGGGATGATGTGAAGGGCAACGGCACCTTCCCTCGCCCCTAATCTCACCCCGGATCCCTTCTCTCACCCCTCCTCTCGCCCCTTCTCTCACCCCTTCTCTCACCCGTCCTACCACCCTCTCTTTCAGCCCTGCTCTCACCTGCAGTGCTTGCCCCTGCAGCAGCGGCGAGCGCACAAGAGCGAGAGCCTGGGGCAGAACCTTGGACGACACAGCTGCTGCAGCAGCAGACCCGGGGGGCGCCTGCCTGGTCACGGAGCAGCACAGCTGCAGTGCCAGCGCTGCCAGTGCCAGGTCCGAGTCACTGCGGTGGTGGCGGAGGGTGGAGGGGGGTGAAGGCCGGTAGACAAAAGAATGAGGCAGGCTCGGGAGAAACGAAGTTGAAGAGGTAGGGCTGAAGGCGGTGGATTAGAATCAGTGAGTAGCGAGCAGGGGGAGAGGAGACAACTGGGGTGGCAGGGAAGCTGGCCAAGCGGTGGTGAGCGGTGAGGTGGGACTACAGGAGGGTGACACACTGTTAGGAGTGGGGCGAGCGACATATGGGCAGATGTGAATGCTGCTTGGCAGCGCACCTGATGAGCGGGGCGAGCTCGGTGAGAAGGGCATCTCTGGCAGCGTCTGTGATGTCGGGCGCATATGCTGAGAGCATGGCGTTCAACGTGCACAGGGACGCCTGGCGTAGCGACCTGTTGGTCTGCAGGGGAGAGTCATGGGGGAGAGGGGAAGGAAGGAGAGGAGAGGAGGAACTGGGAGGAAACAGGAGGGAATAGTTGTGGTACTTGAACGAATCCATGAGCCATAACCCATGCTAACAGAAACTTGACGAGCAGGCTGAGGCAGGGCAATGCAAAGGCGAGCAGGGGTACCCTGCCCAGGAAGGAGTAGTAGGGGGTACGTACCTTGCGCAGGAAGGAGGTGAGCTCGGCGAGGGTGGGGTCGAGCACGGACGAGAGGCTGATGTGCAGCGGTGACTCAGCTATCGTGCCAAACGCCTGGTGGTGGGAGGGGGAGGGGGTGGGAGGGGCAGGTGGCAAGAGGCGTGGGCAGGGAAAAAACCGAATTCGTGGGACAAGGTATACTTAAAACGGCTGTTTCTCGCAGTCATGATGCATTGACATAGACAAGATATGAATAAAGGAGCGGGCATGCTCCTGCCTCTCTCCGCACCTTGACGGCTGTGAGGCGGGTGATCTCGTTACGCAGGCGGTCGAGCAGAAGGGGCAGACACGTGGCGAGCTGTGATTGGAGGTGGTCGCCCAGGATGGAGACAAGCAGCCCCATGCCGCCAATGGCGCACTCCTTCACCTCCTGTTTCAGCAAGAGCAAGTGGGGAAAGGGAAGGGTGGGGGGGATGGGGGTGATGAAATGGGATGGGAAGACAGCGGGACTAACGAAGTGGGACGAGCAGCCCCATGCCGCCAATGGCGCACTCCTTCACCTCCTGCTCACGCACAGGTGGCAGGCGCGGAGAAAGGGGAGTCGGGGGGAGTGATGACAGAGGGATGGAAAGACATCCACACAGGCGCTAACAAAGTGGGATGGTGGGCGCACATGGGGAAAGCTGATAGTGGAACGGCCCTGCTATCCAAGTCAAGGCAGGGCAGCAGAAGCACGGCAGCAGCAGCAGCAGCAGGGCAGTGGATGGGGAGAGGAGGGGCTCACGAGGTCCTGGTCCTGAGCAGTGAGGCGCTTCATGACCGCATCATAGAAGAGTGGCACGTACGGTGCAAAGTCAAAGTTGTTATCCTGCAGAGGGGGTGAGTGAGACAGGCAGTGGCACGTAGGATGGGGTAAGTCACAGGTAGAGACAAGTCAGCGGCAGATGTGGTGGTGCTGTCTTGAGCGGTGCGGCGCTTCACGACGGCATCATAGAAGAGCAGCACGTATGGGGCAAATTCAAAGTCGTGCCCTGCAGAGGGGGTGGGAAAGCCACAGGCAGCAGCACGTGGGGGGAGAGCAGCAAGAGACTGATACGTCGTTAGCAGGAAGCACAGGTGGCAACGTGAGAGCAGGTGTGCACTGTACCCAAAACAGCAAGCGTTAGGAGGGTCGCACCTGGGGGGCGGGGGGGCGAATGGCCTTGACCATCTCGCCCACGACTCGGAGTGCCTCTGCTGTCACCTTGTAGTACCGCTCTCCTGCCGCTGCCACCACTGGCGCCGCCAGCTCCTGCTCACGCCATAGGGGAACAGGGAGGTTGGGGTTGCGGGGGTGCGTTTAAGGATTGCAGATAAGAGGGGTAGCGGATGGAGAAGGATGTAGACGAATTGTTGGCAGCAGAAAGGGAAAATGAACCAGGGCATAGCAGCAGTCTAGAGTGCGAAACTTGTTGGATAAATGAAAATCCAAAGCAAGGTACATGTGTGTGAAGGGGGAGAGAGCAGCACCTTGATGTGGGGTTGGAAGACGTGGGGTGGGTGGGATGCCATGGCCAGGCGTGTGAAGAGAAGCGCCTCGATCTTGAGGTTGGAGTTGGACGCCTTGTCCTGCCATGGACATGGTTGATATGAATTATGGGAAACAGGAAGAGGGGGTGAAACGAAGAGGCGCTGGATGGCAGAGGGACATGCAGAGGAAGCGGGGTATGCGACATGGAGTTCACATATACTGGTGTGACTTTTGAGAATTCTCAAAAGTCACACCAATATTGTTGAAATCACTCTTGAAATTTCTCAAAAGCGATTCCAACCTAGCGGGGTTACAGGGTATGCGACATGGAGTTCACTTCAAAGTGGACAGCAGGTGGCAAGGCGGCAGCATGTCATAGAAGATGCTGCTTGAGACGGCATTTTTTAGAAGCCTGAGAACACGTTGAAATGTAGTTCGGAGATGCTCAAAGGATTACTCACAGAGAGAGCCTTTTGAATGCCGGGGATGAGGAGGGCGATGAGGTCTGTGAGGCAGCTGGGCAGCACATGCACCAACTCCTTGAGCACACTGAACACTCCCACCTGCATGCCCAGCAGCAGATAGGCACAAGGGAAGGTGATGCAGGAATGGATCAAGAGGAACCTGAACAACCGTGCACCTGCTCCTTGAGCACGCTCAACACTCCCACCTGCGCACCCATGGCAGCACACAGGCACAGGTTTAGGTGACGCACAGGCGGCGTGCCAGTAAGAAAGAGTAAGGGGCTGCAAATTGTGAGTGGAGGATTCGGAAAAGGCCTCACACAGCCCTCACATGTGCTCCTCTCTCCCACCAGTGCACGCACCCGTCTTTTGAGCGAGGATACATTTCAGTGGAGTCGAACCTCATCTCACTCCTCTCCCATGATCGCACGCAGTGCCAATGAGGCATCACCCCAACAGCCCCTTTCACTCGTCATTCCCTGGCCCCACTATAGACACACGCACCCGTGTTTTGAGCGACTTCTCCTTGAGCTGCCTGTTGAGTGAGCGCACGATGCGAGGCACCTCCTCCCTCAACACTGCCAGCGGGCTGCTCCCACCGTGATGTGCCACACGCGGTGGGGAGGGGACGGGGTGGTAAGACGAGCATGAGGAAGCGACATGGGGACGAGGCGTTGAGACAGGGAGGGCCAAGGCAGTGACATGGGGGAATGAAGGGGCGAGGAGGGGAATGGAGGGGCGAGGAGAGGCATGGAGTGGGGAGCGTATGAAGGGCGCGGAGTGATGAGTGGCCTGCTGCGCTGCTGTGACTGTGACAGAACGAGAAGCTACCTCACCAGCATGACCCACCTCACCACTGTGATCACTCGGGTCCTGCTGTGCAGGTGATACCTGCCCAATATTAATCTACAGACTACAGGTGTGATCTGCCTGCTTCTACTGCACAGGTGTTATCTGCCCCTCCTACAGTGCACATGTTACACAGACCCCTCCTACCGCACAGGCGGTACCTGCCCGGGGGAACGTCAGCAGGAGTGCCGTGGCCCTTGGTGACTTGGCCTGTCTGCCTGAGCAGGTCGATGAACGCATTGAACACGTCCACCTGCACGTGTGGGAGGGGGTGGGAGAGAGGAGATAGGGTTTTGGAGAGAAAGAGAGAGGTGGAAAGACTTGAACCTTCAGTTGACTCAACGGTTGGCCTGAGCAGGTCAATCATCAATGAACACATTGAACACGTCCTCCTGCTCGTGGGAGGTGTGAAGGGGGGGGAAGAGGGTTTCGAAGGGACAGAGAGAGGTGAAAAGTTTTGACTGTTCAGTCGACTCAAAGGTGTGCCCGTATTATTTGGCCACAACCGTAAGATGGAGTGCCTCTGGGCACAAAGGTGTGCCCAAGCAGGTCGACTCGACGGACGTGGTGAACACGTCTATGTGCCATGTGGGAGGGGGGAGATGAGAACGGGGGAGTGACTATGGGAGGGGTTGCAGGTGAAGGAACAAGAACATGGTTACAGGCAGAAATGAGGTTGGCATTATGGTGCTTGACAAACACGCGGTGGGTGGGTGGGTGCAGCGGTCAGCACGCACCAGAATGAAAAGATATCAGCCAGAGTGAATATACAAGCCCAGCAGCGTTTCCAGACAATGACGGCCAGGTAGGTATGTTCGAACCACTGTGCTGCTCTGCTCGTACCTTGACATTCTCCTCGCGCTCTCTGAACCGTTCGATCAGCTTCGGGCTCGCCTGCATGGTGGGAAAACAGAACAGGTGAGATTGTGGAAGAGGGAGACTTAAGGGGGCGGCACGGGTAGAAAAGCAAAAGGCGAAGAAAGTTTGATGAGATGGGTGGGTGAGTGAGTGTTTGGCGTGTGGAAAGGGAGGGGCGAGGGGGTAGTTCAGAGACAGGGTCGAGAAACTGGTGTCAAAGGCGCTAGAGGTGGCTTGGTGGGATGTTGGGGGCGCATGGGGTACCTTGGTGTAGAGCGTGGTTAGCATCTCGGGGCGGGAGGTGGTGATGGCAGCGATGCACCGCGCTGCTGCTCGCCGCACCTTCCAGCTCACGTCCTCATCGTCACTGTACTCCTCCTCCTCGTCCCTGCAGGGTGGGCGGAGGGTACACACATGACAGATCGGCCAGGCGCATGACACACACACACAACCCTTCCAGCTCACGTCCTCATCGTCACTGTACTCCTCCTCCTCGTCCCTGCAGGGTGGGCAGAGGGTACACACATGACAGATGGGCCAGGCGCGTGACACACACACACAACCCTTCCAGCTCACGTCCTCATCGTCAATGTACTCCTCCTCCTCGTCCCTGCATGGTGGACGGAGGGTACACACATGACAGATGGGCCAGGTGCGTGACACACACATCCCTAAGTTGCCACCACCGACGCCCTCCCCCTCCGTCGCCCCCCTTCCTCTTCAGGTTTCCTCCTTCCCCCCCAAGCCTTCCCACAGCGCACTCACTCGTCGTCTTCATCGTCCTCCTCGCCCTCCCCCTCCCCGTCGCCATCCATGGCGTCATCAGTGAAGTTGGGGTCGTAGCTCAGGTACTTGAGCGCCAACTGCAATATGCCTGAACCCACTCACTTTCCCAGCTGATTCCCCACTCGACTCAGAACATCAACCCTTGCCACATTGCACTCACTCGTCCTCGTCTTCGTCCTCCTCGTCCTCGCCCTCCCCGTCGCCATCCATGGCATCGTCTGTGAAGTTGGGGTCGTAGCTCAGGTACTTGAGGGCCAAATCCAGTATCGCCTCGCAGTGCTCCGCCACGTCCTTGGGGCACCGCACCACAAAGCTCTCCAACGCCTGCAAGAGAGGGGAGGTGGACAAGAGGTCATGCGTTCTGAGGCGCACAAGGGATCACAATCATCACACAAAATGGCCTTGCAGTGCTTCGCTCTGCCCTTGGGGCTCCGCACCACAACGCTCTCCAGCGCGTGCACGCAAGGAAAGCATGAGCATGGTTATAAGGGCACGAATAGGTGGTGCATTGAGCAACAGAATAGGTGGTGCATTGAGCAACAGAATAGGTGGTGCATTGAGCAACAGAATAGGTGGTGCATTGAGCAACAGAATAGGTGGTGCATTGAGCAACAGAAACCCCGCTGACGTTAAGATGCGAACAGGCGTGCACGGGGAGCGTTCTGTCTAGAGCGGTGCCATCTCAAATCCGGGCATGGGCGCACCTGCAGGGAGTACTCGCGGATCTCATCGTCGTTCTCAGAGGCGCTCTCACTGAAGCCCACCACGAGCGGCAGCACCACCCCCAGATGCGGCCCAAAGCGGTACCCCACCGCTCGGCTGGCAGGGAACAAGCGCAAGAGGGGGAGAGCGGGCAAGAAGGTGGAATGTAAAGATGGCTGGTACGGCACCTCACTGACGCATCTCATGACTAGTCTAGCTGGATAAAGGCCCTTCAAGAACAATGAATGGCATACGAGCATGTGGCACGCCACGCCACACCATGCTACACCGTGCCATGGCATGGCATGGAAAATACGGCAGAGCATGGCATGAGAGGGCACCTTCAACAATACAGACCACTACACATACCAGAGCGCCCCAACCATCTGGATGTAGGAGCGAGTCATGTCGGGCTTGAGGTCAGTGCGATGCAGCAGTGCCACCACGCTGTTGGACGCCCTCGCCAACAGGTCGTCCGATAGACTCGCCGCCAGACTCGCTGCTCGCCCACACGCACACAGGGGGAGAGAGCGATGTGCACAGGGCGATAGTACAGGGGAACATGCACATGGGTGAAGGAACACAGGGAGGATAGCAGCTGATGACCCGTGCAATGGTAAGGAGTTGGTGGGGCAGGAACGATGAGTTCAATGTAGCTGCTACAAAGACAGCTACGCCACAAGATGCTAGCATGTTGGTCCAGAGATGTTATTGCCTTATGGGCATACCCAGGCACTGCGTGGCCTCTTTTGAGGCGCCTCAGCAATCAAGATGCTAACATGTTGGTCCGGAGATGATACGGCCTTGTGGCATACCCAGGCACTGCGTGGCTCGTTTGCGGAGGGAGGCGCGGGGGGAGGAGAGCTGCTGCAGCAGGGGCACGAGCAGCCGCTCGTGGTCACCGGCCATCACCACTCCAAACCGCTGCAGAACGTCTCCCAGCACGTCCAGGCACTCGCCCTTCACATCCACGCTCGTGTCCTGCCCAGCGTGGGGGATGCAGTGGGAGATGTAGTGCGGTGGGGTGTGGTGGGGAGGAACGCGATGCCAGGGGTGTGATGATGGGCAAGGGGTTGATGAGCAGAGGGGTGGTGCCAAGGGTGATGTGGAGTGGAGGGACGTGGGCGGGTATGGTGACAGAGGTAATATGCACCGATGTAACAGGGTGTGGTGGGCTGATGTGATGGATGGGGTGTGGCGAATTGGTGTAGGAACAGCTGAACACCATCAGCGACCCGTGCAGCAGAGCAATCAATCCTCAATTGGAATCAACCAGCAACGCAACCCTCACGCCTTGCTACGCACCGGGGAGTCAATAGCAGCGGTGAGTCTGGCCGGCAGGGACGCGAGCAGGTGGTGGATGGCGGGCGGCGACGCGACCTCGGCCACAACGGTCTTGAGCGCGATGGCGGCGATGTCGCGCTGCTGGTCCTTGCCCGTCAGCAGCTTCCCCACCAGCGCCGCGCTCATCTCCGCCACGCGCGCCTCGCTCACCTTCTTCACTAACGGCACCAGGCTGACGGAAAACGTCAGGTGACGGAAACGGGAAACACGCAGCAGACCAGACACGGGAAAACATGATCGAGTTGGCGCCGCTGAATGACTACGAGATTCGATTTCGCCTGTCAGGCATTTTCCTCGACCATTTGAATTCTGTCAGTCTGGATTCTATCTAGGACAATCTCAAACCTTAAACCAAACACTGCATGCCAGGAACCAGGAACGTGCAAGCAAGCGATCATCGCATGAGCGACGATGTCGCACGGCACGCACCACTTGACGGCGAGGCCGGAGATGTCGCCCGAGGCGTCGTCGAGCTGCTGCAGCACAACGTGGCACAGGCGCTTCTCGCTGTCCGGGTCGATGCGGAATGTGTCTCGGTTTAGCTCGTTCAGAAGATCCGATGTTCCCATGTAACGAAAATCCTTATCCTTGCTCGCTATCTGCCAAGACATTCGACGAAATGGTAACGACAGTAGTTAGTCACAGATGCGAAGGCAGCTCGAGCATATTGCGACTGATCACGTAACCATTGGATTGCTTAGATTGCTAGGATTACCCTTTCCAACGCGAGAGTGACCGAGCTCCCCGACATTTTGCCAGATTCGGAATGCACCCAGACGACGTGTGAGGAAAACAAGGAACCGAATAGAAACCGTGATGTTTTTGCAAGATCTATAATTTTCTGTCAGAAGTCCGGCGAACCAAATCCGAAAAATATAAAGCTAGGAACGAGACACAGCTAGGAACGTGAGCGCTGGAGAGAAAACACGAAGTATGAGTTGGTCGCTAGCTGCTCAATGCAATAAATTCGGGACCTGAATGGGATAGCTTCGAACTCGGACCAAGACAGCTAGAACTCGAGAATCTGATGAGCTAGAGATTGCTTCTAGCAGACAGAGACATGTCAGGAGGAGGGAGGGGCTGATGAGGATTCTCCGCTGAAAAGCCTACAGACGATCCTGTTTTAGACAGCCTTAGCTGCACTTGATAACACCATCTGAGTATGTGAACAAATTACACAAAATAATTATCAACACAACTCACCCCAAATGGCAGTTCAACCATTGGTGTAAATTACAAGGCTTAATGCATTATTTGGGTCTTAATTAGGAGCCAAATATGGCTCAAGAACGTCCAGCCAAACACCAGTCAGGATGTCAGTTTATAAACCAGTACGGTCGTATATGCTAATCAGGTTAGTGAAACACGAACTCTGTTTCTGAAGCCCTTCTTTCCTGTGCCACTAGAAACAATAACGCGTATTTATTCTACCGATATTCCCCCCTGCTCCAAGTCACCAGTCGCCTCATCTGTCAGATTCTTCCCACCACACCTTCCCACCTCATTCTAGCCCTCATCTTCACAGAGAGCCATGGCATTTCACATTCATAGCTAAGCTGTGCGCTCGTAGGCGAGCATCAGACAGCGCAATACCGCCATTTTGCTAAAGGATCTTGTTTCAATTCCTCCATTTCATTCGGCGCCTCACATCCAATACATTTGCCTCCGGAAATTCCAGTTTCGTACTTTCCGCCAGAATTTCTGTCTCATGTTCACTCGCGACACGTCGTAAGACGCCGTTATGGAAGAACAGCTAATATCGAAGGCCGTTCGTGAAGACGTACCATGGGACCAGCTGCCGAAACGAGCGAAGCTATTTCTAGGCTCGAACGAAGAATACATTAGACGGTATGTGGTGTAGCATTGGCCTTGGCAAAGCTCTGACCAACACTGCTCTTTCCTAACAGAGGTGAAAGGCGTTAGCTTTTTATATCTCTGTCGTGAATTCCGTGACGTCTCAGCCACGCTGTCAAGATTGTACGATCACCCGAATCTGCAAGTTTCTGAATCTCGTCATTCGTTCTCAGCCGTACGATTGTCTCGCTTAAGTCAAACTGCCGACAATACCAGAGCTCCCTCCTCGTCATTCACCTCAACGCGACCCTCCCTTCCCTCCCTCCATGCTGCACATCCAACCCGAAGCATCAAGGAGCATTGCTTCCAGTTGCGGCTGCGCTGGCCCGACAGTCCCGCGCGCCTGGTGTGTCGCGAGCTGGACTATTACAACGAGCTCATCGCTCATGGCAGGAAGACCCAAGCCGTGCGTCTCGCCTCGCCTCGCCTCGCCTCGCATACTGATGACTCAATTATGTCACGTACAATCAAGAATCTGATTGGTTGGGATCTTTTGATGTACGATTTGTAGACCAGGAATGCGTACGATTCCGGGAAAGATGAAGCCTGCATTGAGAAAATGATAGGTGATTTTTGCTTGTGTCCGTGTCTCTTGGATGCTCGTGGCTGGCATGGCAACCGTTCCCATACCAACTGGCTGACTTTTGAGTCGGCTGAAACATCGTGTGTGTTGATGCTTGTGTCCGTCTGCGTGTGTGTGGGTGGTGGTGCGTGCCTGGCAGCCGTTCCCGTACCACCTAGCGGACTACATCTGCCGTGTGCTGCGCATCTCCCCCTTCCGCTACTACAGCGACCTGCTGCTCGATGTCATGAAGCAAGGTGAGGTGACTGTAGCGAAGAAAGGTATGGTGATTGTAGCGAAGCAAGGTGGGGTAATTGTGGAGAAGCAAGGCGATGTGATTGTAGCAAAGCGAGGTGAGGCTGGGCATGTATGCCTCGCGAATGTGGATGCAGCAGGGTGGGCACAGCAAGTGTTGAGACGTCCCGCAAGGTGAAGGCAACACAGCATATGTCGCACTGCCATGCTGCATGGGATAGCCCCCTCACTTAACCTTCTCCTCCTCCTCCTCCTCCTCCTCCTCCTCCTCCTCCTCCTCCTCCTCCTCCTCCCATGTGTGCTGCATGCAGAGAAGTCGTACGACACGATTCCCAACTTCACAGCAGCGGATGCGCTGAGGGAGACGGGCATCGGGCGCAACCAGTTCATCGACATTATGAACCGCGCCCGTGCCAAGGTGCCCCTGCTGCTCCCATACATGAACCCATGCATCCGTGCCCTCATGCCCTCATGCCCTCATGCCCTCATGCCTTCATGCCTTCATGCCACATCTTCACTTCCCTGTCATCATGGCTTCGTGCTCCCGGTCTGGCTGGAATGAGAGCATGAATCTGATAACATGGAGCTGTACAATCGAGTGACTGAAACAAGTTGTTGCATCACACATAGTTTGCCTTTTCCCTCACTCTTGCACTCTCTTTCTGTCTTCCCCTGCCCATCCGCCCCACCCTGGTGCGAGCATCAGCTGATGTGGAGGGTGAACCGGGGCATAGTGAAGGACATGCTGCCACTGGAGCCAGTGCCCTTCCCCATCCAGCCCTGGTGGCTCGTCTGCGTCGTCAACCTCACCGCTGACGAGTACAGAGTGAGCCTAAAGCGGGTATAGGGTGAGCCTAAAGCGAGTACATGGTGAGGCCGTAAGGTGGGGCACAGCTTATAAGCTGCATGTACCAGAAGTTCCTGGAATCCAATGCTGTGCACTGCTGTCCGTTCGTCACGCACTCACTCTCCGCAATGATCCAATCCCCCCACACCTTGGCATCTCTTCAACTTGGCATCTCACGCTCAACCCCCTCATCACCATCATTTCTCGGTGCGTGGCACCAGAGGCTGACGGAGGATGAGCTGAGTGTGATAGAGAGGGGCGGGCACGAGGGCGACTGCATGGCGGGCGAGTTTGACGACGACCTCGTGCGCTCGCTGCACTGCAAGGGCCTCGTGTACCTCGATGTGCCCGTCTACCCCAACGACCGCTTCCGGGGTACGACCTGTGCCAGGGGGGGGTATAGTGTCCCTGTTCTGGTGTACGCTCCCTGCACTGCAAGGGCCTTGTGTATCTGGACGTCCCCGTTTGCCTGGTACCCCAACTACCTCTTCCGCGCTATGCCTGGTTGTGTGTTAGTCCTGGGCGCATATAGTCCTGGGAGCATGTAGCGTGTGTGCCTGTTCTGGTGCACCCTACATGCGTCAGTCCATTCATGTCTGCACCGCTCCTGACACACATTGGTGTCGTTGAGTCCCTAACCCTCCATCCTCTCCGCATTCCCTCCTCTCTGCCTCCGTACTCGCTATGCTTCCTCCCCCCTCATGGCATGCAGTATCGTCTCTGGAGGGCTTTGTGTCCAACAGGAACCAGCAAGGAGAGGACGCTTCCGAAAAGTACGCCCAGGATTTACTGGCTGCCTCGAGTTCCTGTCTCTGTTGCACTCGTGCTCGCACCTTTCAGCGATTGCCACTTCCCATCTGCACACTTACTCGTATCCGCTTTTTATTTGTGTGTTCAAAACGAACTCAAATCTGCCCACTTGCTCGTATCCAAATCTGCCCACTTGCTCGTATCCAAATCTGCCCACTTGCTCGTATCCAAATCTGCCCACTTGCTCGTATCCAAATCTGCCCACTTGCTCGTATCCAAATCTGCCCACTTGCTCGTATCCAAATCTGCCCACTTGCTCGTATCCAAATCTGTCCACTTGCTCGTATCCAAATCTGTCCACTTGCTCGTATCCATATGTGCACAGCACAGTTAATGCTATTTCTCACTCCTACTCTTCCCCCCCAATCTCCCAGGCTGCTCTACTTGCTCTTCGTCACAGCCAGTGAGCAGGCCACAGTGCACGAGATGGCTCTCACGCTGCAAGCCAACATGCGACAAACACCTTCTCATCCCCCCTCTCCCCCCCTTCTCCTCCCCCCCCCCCCTCCCCCCTTGCTCTTCGTTACAGCCAGTGAGCAGGCCACAGTGCACCAGCTGGCGCTCACTCTTCAAGCCGATGTGCTGCAAACATCCAATCACTCACCCCCAACCCCCCCTCCCCCCACTTCCTCTCCTCCCTCCGCAGGCTGCTCTATTCTCTCTTCGTCACAGCAAGCGAGCAGGCCACGGTACACGAGATGGCCCTCACCCTACAAGCCGACGTGCGGCAACTAGGCGCCGCCATCTCCCTCGCATGCCGCCTGGGGTGGGCCGAGAAGGTGCTGGACCTGCACTCCCTGCTCGACCACATGGACATGGGAGGGGAGGGAGACACCAGCGATGGGGCCCTCGGCAGCGAGGGGTTCGGTGCTGGAGACGGGGGGTTGGGTGCGGGGATGGGGGGAGGGGAGGGGGGGTTGGAGGGCGCGGGAGGAGGGCAGGTGGTGGGGTGGAAGAAGGTGGAGTCTGTAGGGTGGGGGGAGGGTGGAGGGGCGGACCGGTTGAGGATAGCGCTCATGGTGGATGCCAACCTCACGTCCTTCCTCATGATGGGCTCCTTTTCGTATGGTGAGCCGTGGGTGAAGAGGCGATTTTTTAGTCGACTCAAAAATGGTGAGCCGTGGCCTTTCTCCTTCTCCTATGCTCACTGATGACGCATGGTCCTTCTCCCTAGCTCTCGCTTTTTCCTCTCTTCAGTTCACTGCCTTCCAACTTGCCACAGATTTCCCTCAATTGCTCACTTCTCTTCCCTATTTAGCTGGAGGGTGGCCAGCACAGCAGGTCTGCCCAAACCACAAAACTTAACCCTCTCCTTCTCCCTCGCTCCTGGATCCTCTGCACCCCTCACTTTCACGTCCCTTGCAGAGCTAAAGCAGCATGCAGTGACTCTGTTTGAGGCAGGCAAGCTGTCAGAACGCAGTGTGGCGGAGCTGTGTGGGGAGCTGCGGGCGGTGGAGAAGACACAGCTGGAGGGCGAGCTGCAGAAGTTCACAGACCACGCCTTCAGCCTCCGATACGCCCTCTCCTGCCTCCGCACCGGCACCATTGACATCACCTCCGCCCTCCACACTCCCCGCCCTGCTTCTTCTGCCGCTGCCGCCACCGCAGCAGCTATCGCACCACCCCACCCTGCCCCTCGCTCTTCACCCTCTAGTCAGCCCAGTGCTGCCAGTGACCCTCCAGGCTCTTCGGACTCTGCACAGGGGGCGGCTGTGGGGGCTGCTGCTGCAGATGCGCCTGCCCCAGATGACACCTGGTCCACGCGCAGTGTGGCCGACTCTGCCTCTACTGTCGACCCCTCAGACCTCCCCCTCCCCATCCCCTCCCACCTCGTCGCCTCCTCCTCCTCCCAGTCCCTCCCTGACTCTGTCAGCACATCACAACCCACCTCCTCACATGCCGACTCCTCAACCGCACCTGATGGTGTTTCAGGCAGCAGTGGGGCAGGCTCGGAGGGGTCCCGGCTGCAGGAGAAGCCGCTGCACCCACGGGCTGCCTCGTACCCGGCACTGGCAGCAGCAGAGGCCGGCGATGATGACGGCTCCTCTTCTCCTGCTGCCCCTCCCCCTCCCGCTGCGGCCACATTACCACCATTACCACCATCATCAGCAGCAACAGCAGCAATGGCTAACCGAGCGACGTTCAACCGGGTGGAAGTGCTGCGAACAGAGAGCCTACAGGGGCTAGCACCCGCCACGCTGCACCGCCTGCTGCGCCGGGACTTTGACCTCGTCGTCTCCATTGTCCCCCTCCCCAAGCCCCTCAACGCCGTCGTCCCCGACGGCTCCGGCCCGGCTCACTTCGGCCCGCCCGCCCCGGCCTTCCTCTCCCCGTGGGCGAAGCTGTTCCTCTACGCAAAAACCGCCTCTGGTCCGGTTTCTGTGGTGCTGATGAGAGGGTTGAGGCTCCGGCTGCTGCCACCGCCGCTGTTGACGTGTGACAAGGCGTTGGTGTGGACTTGGGATGGGATGGGGGTGGGGGGAGTGGGGGCGAAGAGTGAAGGGTCGCTGGTGCCTGGGGCGGTGCTGCTGCATGTGATGAACAGCCTGCTTCGACACTCTGCTCTCATGGTTCAGCCTCTGGCCGCCCCCCCTGCTCCTGCTCCTGGTTTCTCCCGCACTGGGTCGAACTCAGCAGCGAGAGCAGCAGGGGGAGGGGGAGGCGGAGGGGAGGGTGGGTTGTGGGGTGCGGATGGGGCAGTGGAGGGGGTGGGGGAGGGCGTGGGGTGTCTTACTGAGGAAGGGGAGCCGGACATTGCCACGGTTGCTCTCCCTCTGCCCCCTCGCTCTCGGCCTGACTCCAGTGAGTCACGAGCAGCAGAGAAAAGGGAGGCAGTTGAGGGTGCCGTGCTGCAGCAGCAGAAGCAGCAGGGTGGGGGGAGATCACTAGTAAGGACGAGGTTGGGGGGTTCTGAAGCCACAGGGGAAGCGGTGGGTGGTGGGGCAGGAGGGGACGAGGGAGACAGGAGTGAGGGAGGAGAGGGCGGGGGGGTGAGTGAAAGCACTGGTGGTGGTGATGGCGTAGGGGCAGTGGAGCAGGGAGCAGGGCAGCAGTGGGAGGTGGAGGAGGAGTCTCCAGTGGTGGCAGCAGCCAGGCGAGCAGCAGCAGTTCTGGCAGTGGACGCTGTGGGATTCGTTCGGGTTATCCGCACAGAGGCAGGCGAGGAGGAGGACGAGGAGGAAGAGGAAGGTGGTGGTGCTGCCAGCACTGGCACTGCCAGTGGGGAAGGGAGGTTGAGAATAGACGTCAGTGGAGCAGACTTGGGAGCAGCAGGCAGCGGGGGACTCTCACAGAAGCAGCAGCAGCGGCGGCGGCGGGGCGAGTGGGTGGCGCACAGTGTGGAGTTTGGCATTCCTCTGTTCGACACGCAGCTGTGCTGCCAGGTGTGCGACGCCGTGGTCTCTCACAGCATGCTCACCCTGCCCCAGCTCGCCTCGCAGCGCCGCTCCACTCTCTCTCTGCGCTCCGCCCTCCGGGAATTCATCTCTGACTATCGCCAGCACGGCCCCGTCTCCCGGGCTGTCTACACCGGGAATGTGGCTCTCCTGCGGTCGACCTCCCGCCGTTGGTCTGCTTCGTTTGCTGCCTCCACTGCTGCTGCGTCTCCCTTCTCGGTGCTGCTTCCGAGACGGACTGTCAGGCATGTGCCGCCGTCGCCGTCGGGGAGGGGAGCAGGGGAGAGGGGCGTGGGGCGGGGAGGAGGGAGGAGAGGGGAGATTGGGGGGGTGATTGCTGCGGCAGTGGCAGCAGTGGATGCGGAGAAGGGAGGGGGGAGGAGGGCGGGGGACAGGAGGGGGAGGATGGGGCAGAAGCACAGGCTGAGCCGAAACTTTTCAGAGTTTTGGTACCTGCCCGAGAATCAAGCTCCCAGGTATGGGTGGTTTCTGTAATTTCCGTGCCCTTCAGGAAAGGGAATAAACAATGGAAGTTCATCCCCTCGTTCCATTCTCCGTCTCACTCTCACTTTTCTTCCTTTGTTTTTCCTAACTTCCCCCTTTTCCCTTGCTCTTACCCTCCCCCTCCACTGCCCAGCTTTGCTGCCACTCAAGATGATCCCCAGGACCCCTATGCACAATCAAATCGTGATCCAAGCTTCACGTCGGAGGAGGAAGAGGACGATCTCTCCCGCCCGGCATACCCCGGAGTGAATATGATCTTTGATGGCCACCTGCTTCTGCCCATCGATCTCTCAACCTATCTGCACGGGCGGCAAGCGTCGACTCTTGTGGCCCGTGCAACCTCCATGTCCCAGCAATCCATCATGTGGTGATGCTGATGCTGATGGGGCCATGAGGGTCATTGCAATGGGAGCCGGTGCGATGGGATCATGGGATTCAGTGTAGGAGAGGGGAGTATCGCAATGGTGGCCATTGCTTTAGGAAAGAGGGCACCTAGTACGGTATATGTCAGCTCAGCTGTCATTGCAGGTCTGTACCTTAGTAGACCACCTGCTCCTGTAGATTCGGGCGCTTTTGTACTGACGCTAGTACACGTGTGTGTGCACTGTGCAGTTTCCATTCCGCTGCACAAGCGCGCTCATTACACGTCACATTGTCTCTGAATCTGAATCCATGCCTCGCTGGGGCCAGCAATGGTTGGCCCTATCTCCAGGTCAGACAGACTTGTTTTGAGACGTCTCAAAGCAACTCTGTTTACATGTGGCATCTCCAGGTCAGACAGACTTGTTTTGAGACGTCTCAAAGCAACTCTGTTTACACGTGGCATCTCCAGGTCAAACAGACTTGAACTGGCTCTCCTGTGGGAGCACAATGCGACGGCTGCTCCATGCTCCTGCAACAGTGCTCCCCTGCGTGGGTAAGGCAGGCTGTCTCACGGCCTGTGGTGTGCCGATTGTTTCCCACATCCTAATCCATCTTGTTCCATCTCTGCAGGCTGATTGCGAGCTTGCTTCAGTTTGGTAGCGGCTGGGAGAGCATCTAGCAGCAACTGGAGAGCATCTTTTGAAAAGGCTTTTATCAGCATTTGGGAGCTCAGCATGTGGAAGAGAAACTACAGTATAAGGGAATTGGAGAGAACCTTTGAGCAACTACAAGGGAGAGAGTTCATCAGCCCAGCATGAGTCATTCATAAGCATTTCTTGGCAGGGCAGAGCGAGTGGAACCACAGGTTCCTGCCATTCATCACATCATCGAAAATCCTCGGCGCGCCCAGCACAACAGTCAGCGTGGTCCCCACAGCAATGATTGCTGTGAGAATGAAGATGATGATCGAAGCACGGCCGGTGCTCTTGACTATGCGGCACACAATGGTGACTCCGAGGAGGGAGGCGATGAAGGCGGTCGGGGCAAAGATGGCTGCATAGGCGAGGTTGAGGCGGTGCAGGAAGAGGAAGGAGAGGGAGACGCTGCTGCTGCCAAACAGCACCATCATCACTGACGTTGATGCTGTTATCTGGAAGGGGGGAGGGGGAAGTGAGAGGGAGGGGGTAGTGAGAGGGAGGGGTTAGTGAGAGGGAGGGGGTAGTGAGAGGGAGTGGGGTCAGTGGCACAAGACGGTTGGTGCAGTGGCATGGTGCCATCATCACTGACGTTGATGCTGTGCTCTGGAGGAGATTGGGAGGGAAAGGGCGGGTGGGCGCACGGGTTTGGGTGTAGGGGAAGAGAAGTGGGAAAGTGAGAGGGAGTGGGGCGAGCGGCACACGACGGTTGCACAAGTAAGGTAAGTCGATCACGACCACTGCTGAATAGCACCATCATCACCCACGTTGATGCTGTGATCTGGAGGGAGGGTGAAGGGGGGACGTGTGGGAAGTGAGAGGGAGTGGGGTTTGCGTGGTTGTGAGAGGATTTACTTGGCAGTACTTGGGCCAGAATCATTCAGCAATACCTGGGGCGGATTTATTTGGCAGTACTTGGGGAACAATAATTTAGCAATACCTGGGGCAGCATCATTCAGCAATACCTGGGGGGCAGCATAGGTCGGCGGTACCTGGAGCAACATGGCTTGGCAGTACCTGGGGCGGAATGCCAAGGGTGAGCATGAAGGGATTGAAGAGTGGCGCCCCTCCGATGCCCAACACCCCCGCCATCACTCCCGCCACCACCATCACCCCCACCACCTGCCGGCACAGGAAAGCAGTCATAATGTCAGGGAAGAGCAAATGACCCAAGGACAGCAAGGAGAAGCAAAGAGCAGCAACCTGAGCAGGCTTAAGAAGCAGCAAGGATCGTTGGCTCACTGAGGGGGGCAACACAACTGTTCAGCGAGCAAGGAGCAAGACTGGCTGGATGAACAAGAGAGGGGCACAGCATTCAGCCATGCAGCATGCGAACTGTACATATGAACATTGCCCCTGCGCTGACCTTAAATATTTTCTGGGCAGCCCGCTTTCTCCGGGCCTCAAGAACGTCATCAGCGCCTGCCCCGTCCTCCTCTGTCTGCCCCGCCATGAGCACCCGTGAGAGTGCTGACGCCCCCTCTGCATCCGGATTGGTGGACGCCGCTCGAACCTGGGAGGAGGAGAGGGTGGGGAGGGGGGAGTGAGGACAGGAAGGGGGACGTGAAGAGGGGAGAGGGGAGCGGTTCTAATGTGGCTGATTGGATGCATGAAAGCTGGGGAGGGCTTAGATAGCGCAAGCAGCTTTTGGTAGGTTTCTCGGAAAGGGGTTGTAGAGTGAAGAGAAGGGGAACACGTGGTGTTACCTGATAGGCGAGGGGAGCACGTGGCGTTACCTGATAGGCCACCATGGCAGCAGTGGCAGCGAAGCACAGCAGCGTTTGTGCCGCCCAGTAGAGGAAGAACGGGCGGCTGCACCGCGTGGTGCCGGCCAGCCCGCACTCAAGAGCCATCATTGCGGCCCACAACACTGGCGGGGGAAGCGTGGGGGGAAATAGAGGAGGATGAAACGATGGGGGAGCGGGCACGGGATAGAAAATCCCAGTCATTGCCAGACCGGATGGATAGAGGTTTATGAGAGGGCGGCTCAACAGGCTGCACATCAGTGACGAGGATCGTGCAGAGGCCGGGCGACACGGCATGTGGGTGGCTGCACAGGATCTCTATCCCGCCCATAACCCAGAACCACATACCGCCAAGGCCCACAAGTGGCAGAAGCTGGGCGGCAGTGTGAGCCACGAAATCAGTCAGCCGCCCATATCCACTGGACGGGTCCAACCAGCGCCGCTTGGAAGGAGCGTGGGCGGCAGGGGAGGAGGAGGAGGGGGCAGTTGCTGCAGCTGACTGTGAAAGCAGAGGTGTGTTGATTGAGGAGGTGGAGGTGGAGGGGGGCCGCTGCTGCTGCTGTTGCTGCTGCTGCTGCTGGTTCTGCCTGGCAGTGGCGGCTTGCGTCTCCTTCTCCCACGCCTTGCTCGCCTTGATACCCGTCTCCCTCGCCACGTACCCCAGCAGCACTGCTAGTAGGGACGTCTGCGGACCAGGGACGGAAAGGGGGAGGAGGGCAGAGGGTAGAGGGGGAGGGTAAGAGACTTGGGGATTGGAGGTGCGACCAGCAGATCCATGGCAAGCGATGAGGATGTTCTCTTTTATTCTTCTTCTTCTTATATTAATCCACAGGTAGATTGTGGTATCAAGCCCCAGAAACAAATGTCTGTCCGCTTAAATACCCCCCCCTTGCAATGCTAGCTCCTGTCAGCATGGATAGCACCTGTTGCCTGTCAACCCCAGCATGCGCTGCACCTGTCGCCTAACACCTGTCACCTTGCAGCAGCAGCAGCAGCGGGAGGGGCAGCACCTGGAGCCAGGGCGGGAGGAGCGGGTTGAGAAGCACGCCGCAGCTGACGCCCAGAAGCAGCGCGGGCGTGAAGGTGAGCGCCAGACGCAGGTCGATCAACGGCTGCGATGGGTCCGCGGGGCTGCTCTGAATCAGCCCGTAGAACGTGCTCGCCACGCCACTGGAGGCGACCATGGTGTGTGATAGGCCGGTGGCGGCGTTGGCGGTGAAGCCGAGGAAGGAGTTGAAGAGCGGCATGTAGAACGGGCCCCCGCCTATCCCCGCCGCGTTCGCCAGTAGCGCGCACTGCCGCGCGGAAGATGGCGGAGGATGGGGGGAGAATGGCGGGAGAGGATAGAAGGGGAAAAAACGAGGATCGGAGAAGCACGCAAGCAGGAGGTCATGAGCGGGGGAGGGGAGGAAAGGAGAATTGGCGGACGAAATTGCACAGGAAGCCAGGTCCGGAAAGAGGGGAGAATCCGATCACACAGATCGATCATGTCGTCCCGCGCCCGCGAGGGGGCTCATATGCGTTAGTGGCTTACGCATGCAGTGAGAATGAGGCCGCTGATGCTGTACACGTCCCACCGCAGCTCCGTGCGGTGGTCCTTCGGCGCCGTGTATCCGCCGCCCTTGCCGCCTTGCGCACCGCCAGCATCACCATCGGCGGAAGCATCGGCAGCAGAAGCAGCAGTAACACTTTCGTTGGAATAAATAGCATGATCGGCGAAATTTAAAGCAGCGGTTCTGGCGGAACCTCCACGCTCGGAGTGAAGCAAGCCCGCAGCGCTACACGCCATGACGCCAAACTCGCTGATCACATCGCCCGCGTCGCCACTGCCGTCGCTGCGTCGCTCGCATTGCGACCCCATGCAAACGCCCACGCGGTGTCGTCTCTCTCGACGGCGACAGCGCCACCATTTTCGGCGCCGGCGGCTGCGGAAAGGCCGGCGATTCCGCTGCCGCCCTTACGACCGATACTCGCGGCGGTTAAGGCGGCATTTCCTGTGGCAGGAACGGCGGCAGGGTGAATCGCCAGAGAAAAATCGAGAATCGCTGAATTGACGACAGGTGCGCTGGTTGTAACGTCAGCACTGACGATGACGAGCAGCAGAATGAGAGTGACGGCCCAATGTGCTGCCATTGGGATGCCTGTGACCGATTCTAAGAACGACGCACGCACGCTATGAGAAGAACTAGAGCTCTGAGAGAGAAACTGCTGCTATCGGAGGGACTGTTGCTAGTGGGTAGAAATGCGGGAACGCCGTTCAACTGGGATCGTCGCGTCGATTTTTAGGAAGCAGTCAGGCTGATTTTCGGAGAGTGCTGCTTTTGGCTCCATCAGCAACAAACACCACCTTGGAATGGGATCTCCGCTGCTGACGAGACGAAATCTCAGATTCTGATGAAAAAACCTGGAGTTTGCTGCTAAGGCATTGAAGTTGCCAGAGCTGCTGCCTGCTGATGGCGTCGTTGCCACCGTGGATTTCTCCGCGACTGGAGGAAGGAAGCAAAGCTGCCGTTCGATTCTCGACTCGAACAGGCGGGCGGCAGAGAGGACTAAGGAAGTTGACCTGGTGCAGAGTATCCACTGCTAAGAGTGATCCGCTTCTGAATGTTAGGATAGTTTTGTTTTATATGTGTTAAATTGATAGAATACACCGACATGAACAAGTGCATAAAATCGAAGACATTCGTAACTGTGCTTGAGGGGAGCGGCATGAGCCGATCCCAGCGGGGGTGCTTAAAAAGGGCCACGTGCCCTACGCTGCTTGGACCAAATGGCTTCAAAACCACTTGTCCACTTCCAATTCGTCCCTTCTGCAACCGTAACGTTCGATCCGAGCATTTCTCTTCTATCGGGTCACATAGACGTGTGCGTTTGGACACATGTCCAAGCCATTAAAAGCGTGGGAGGGTGGCGAGCATGATCGGTCATGGGTGCCTGCGAATGAAAAATGCCTGCTGCATTTTCTGCCCATGTGCGGTTTCTTTCGTAGCTTAGGGGCCGAAAACGCCCGTTCCGAGCATTTCTACTATATCGAGTCATATGGTTGTGTGCGTTTGGACCCATTTCTGCTGCTGACCGAGTTGCTGGAGACCGTATTCCTTCTTGAGCAAGGCAAGGGTTGCCTTCTCGAGGGTGACGCGCGTTGCAGTTCCCATCTTCTCCAGCTGCAGGAGGTGATTTGCGGATGTGACATGGTCCAATGCAGTCATGAAGGATTTCCCTTTTGCCTTCCCGCAGCCCAACTGTGTGCAGATCCATTCCTCCCTGTTGCAGCCCATGGAAACCAGCGCAATCGCAGGATCGCGAAGAATAGGTGTGACAAGTGGTGAGGTACGCATGGATGGATGCAGCTGCGACAAAGGACCCAGTTGTTAGTAAGATCAGTGTGAGGAAGAAACGAAGGTGAGCACAGCGGATGCGAAGCGACAGCCTGGTTACCATTGTTTCTATGCACCCTTCCCAATGTAAGGTTCCACTCTGTAAGTTCATATTTTTTTAGGGCCTCAACTCTTAAGTTTCATATATATTTTTTAAGGCTAACTCTGAAATTTCAGTTTTTTTTTTTTTCGGGAGTGTACTCTGATCCTTCAGAGTAAAAACGCGTACCGACTCTGATTCAGTGTATCTGCACTGCTGCTGCCTTTGCTGCTGCTACTGCTGCTGCTGCTGCTGCTGCTGCTACTGCTGCTGCTGCTGCTGCTGCTGCTGCTGCTGCTGGAGGTACATCAGCTGCTGCAGGTGCATCTGGTTCTGGTACATCTGCTGCCAGTACATGCTCATCTGATTCTACTGCTGCTGCTGCTAGTACTGCAAGTGCGGGTTTGGGGGAAACACGGCGCAAGGGGCGAGCACGGGCTCAAGGTAAGGGGCGGGGATGGGGACAGCAGCGCGGGGGAATGCGGGCCGACCCAGAATGCTCTAAGAAAAAACGTTGTTGTTTGCGATGACCGCGAGAGCGGGTGCGAAACCGGCCAAATTTTCGCGAGGATAGAGGTCGAGGTCGTCGGGCAGATTGATATCGGCATCATTAAATTCGCTATCCGCTGACACGACGCTGTCAGCAATATCCCCGTAAAAAGGTTATGCAAGGTCATCGGTGTGCATGAATTCACGCAAAGCAGTGCCGGTACCCAAGCAAACCACCTCCTTGGCTCCAGTATTTTTTTCCAAGCAATAGCAGCGGGTGCAGTTACAGCCACAGTAGGAGAGAGTAGAGGAGGAGTCACGGCCGCAACAGTAGGTGCGGTTGCAGCTGCAGCAGGAGAGGGTAGAGGAGGACCCACGGCTGCAGCAGTAGGTGCAGATGCAGCCGCAGCAGGAGAGGGTAGAGGAGGAGCCACAACCGCAGCAACAGGAGGAGCACCAGGGGCAGGTGCCGCAACAGCAGCCGCCAGAGGAGGCGGAGCAGCAACGACTAAGAGACCTGCCCAACTCAGCACTTGCACGCTTTGTTCGTGGTCCCCTACCATCCCCCCCCGCTCCTCGTGACCAGTCCCTAGTGTAGCCACCACGTCGAGCCGTGTGGTAGTCAACACAGTAGAGGGGGTGGAAGCATATGGTGGAGAGAGGAGCAGGGGGTCGAAGTTTTGAGTCCACCCAAAACAAGACGTAGAGAGTGACCGATCCTAGTGTAGCCACCACGTCGAGCCGTGTGGTCGTCGACGCAGTAGAGGGGGTGGAAGCAGAGGGTGGAGAGAGGAGTAGGGGGTCGACGTTTTGAGTCGACCCAAAACAAGACGTAGAGAGTGACCGAACCTAGTGTAGCCACCATGTCGAGCCTGCGGAGAGTCACTCTACAATAGTCGTGAGCTAGACTACGGGGTGTTGTCACAAACTTTAAGAGTGATCGTAGCTTTGCTTAGTTCCTTAGCACTTGCACAATCACAGGAGAGTTCTGCAAGAGTTTCCACTAGCAAAGTTTGCATTACATAATGATAGGAATAACAATGACAAGAATGACTACATCAGGCACCTAGCAACTCTTCAGCTAGCCTGGTCGACCGCCAGCACAGCATGTTCGACTGCCTGCCAGCGTTGTGTAGAGGAGTTGCGCCAGCACTGCAGAAACGCGGCCTGCCAACACAGCAGGTCGACGGTGTGCCAACGCTGCAGCAGAGCGGCTGTCAAGCGTTGCACCCGTAGAAGACAGCAGTGCGCACATATGCAGGTGCGCGCAAACGATTGGCCCGACTTGCACCAAAGTGCATCTCTTGGCTGTGGTCTGCGCCTGACGAGCCACATCGACTTCGGGATACCAGCCCAAAGTCGCCTTCGCCATCGCGACCTCGACGCCGTTCGCGTGCCTCCGCAGAACTCGTCGAGCACGTTACCTGGTCGACCCGGTCGACCACCCATTGTTCTGGTCGACGCCTCCCTCGTCGACCACAGCTCCTGTCAAGGAACACCCTGGTCGACGGACCCCTCCGTCGACCAGCACTATCAGCTGCTCCTCCTGGTCGACAGCCCGTCCGTACACCAGCTTGGTCAGCTACAGCCATCGAGCTCCCCAGGTTGACGGCTCCAGCACCGCCACTGTCCTGTGCAGGTCGACGACCACCTCGTCTTCCTGCCCTGCAGAAGAAGGCCGTCGAGCTCCCCTAGTTGACGGCAACACCGTAGCGATCCCTTGCAGCTCGACAAAGCCCATCGAGCAGCTCCTTCACTGCGTACGGTCGGCTGCTTCTCCCGTACATCCGACAAGAACGTTGGCGTCGCCCAAGCTAGGGCGGGGCCAACACTCCATTCCCGTTAACACTCCCCTGCCGCGCTCATGCTTGGGCTCCCCAGCCCACACGGCAGTACCTCACGGAGAAGACTCATCCTCGGTGTGCGCCCTACACACAGCACGCCGTCACCGCACCAGCCGTGCAGAAGGGCACGGCACCTACTGCTGCACATCATCGTCCCCGTCGCTGACGTTGGCCAGGCGCACTTGGCCGATCACGATGGAGCACCGGTTGAAGGCCGCAAAGTGCAGCGCCTTCGTCAGAAATTCGGCCGGCTGCTCGGTGGTCGGGATGTATTTCAGCACGAACATCCCATGCCTCACCTTGTGTTACAGCCAGGCATAGCGTCGCTCCATGTGCTTGAGGTTGCCCTGCAGCCCCAAGCCCTCGGCGACCGTGATTGCCGACTTGTTGTCCACCCGTAGGACAATCAGCTTCCCAGCTTCAAGCTGCTAGAATTCTGCAAGGAGGAAGCATAGTCGACGTCCCTCCTTGCCAGCGTCCGTGGCCGCCATGTAATCCGGCTCGGTTGACGACAATGTCGCGCACTTGATGCGCGAGCTCGACCAGGAGACAGCGGCCCCTCCGTAGACGAACACGTAGCCGCCCGTGCTCGTCCGGTTTTGCTTGTCGCTGGCGCCCACGTAGCTAACCAGCTTCAGTGACTCTGGTACACCGCCGAACTCCAGGGCGGTGTCGCGGGTGTCGGCGAGGTAGGAGAGGCAGCGGTCGATCTTGCGCCAGTGCTGATCGCTCCTCACCGTGAGGCTGCTCCCCAGCTTGCTGCAGGCGAAGGCGATATATGGCCTCGTCGTCGTCGCAACGAACTGCAGCGAGCCGACCTTCTGCCGGTACTCCTCCTCCTCGCGCTCCTGCGCCTCCTCGTTGTCGAACGTCAGCTCAGCATATGCGTCGACGGAGACCGGCGTCTTTGGGGTCCGACCGCCCTGCTCCTCGTCGATGAAGCGCCTGCGCAGCTTGTCGGCGTAGCCCTGCTGGTGCAGCCACAGCTTCCTTGCCGCCCTGTCGCGCACGATCTCCAGCCCGAGGTACTTCTCAATCGGGCAGATTTCACGCAGCTCGAAGGCGGCCTCCAGCAGTTCTTTCAGCTCCTTCAGCATCGCGGTGCTGCTGCTGGCGGCGAGCAGGTCGTCGACATAGACCAGCACCAAGCAGGTCACTCCGTCGTCGCCGACCTTGAAGTAGAGCGCCGTGTTGACCTGGCTCTTCTTCCAGCTAGCGCCTAGCACCACGCTGTCAAGAGCCCTGTACCACAGCAACGGCGATTGCTTCAGCCCGTAGAGGCTCTTCAGCAGCTTGCACACCCGGCCATTCCCGTCGTCGGAGTAGTCCGGCTGGTACATGTACAGCACCCGGTCGAGCTTACTCTGCAGGAAAGCGTTCTTC